TCGACCCTACTTTCGAATCCAACCCCCTCAGGCGATGAATAACTCCATTCTCGCAACTGTTTAGAGGAAATACTTTCCTGACAAAAACAATAACAACTGAAATGGCCTTTCCTTTCCTTTATATTTTGGGTATAGCCCATGCATTGACACGAGAGCAAAAAAAAATTCGTAAAAACGTAGCAATTGAAGTTGATCAGGACATAATGAACTTGTCATTATGACCCTAAGGTTCAAGAAAAAATATTTGAATTTTACTCTGATGTCATTTTTTCATTGTTGTCCGAGGTCTCTTTATAAACGACTTTGGTATAAATTAAAATAAAATTTCGATTTCAAATTGGTTTCAGTACGCAGAATGGAAATTCTATAGATGTGTTATTGTTCATCGTGGTTTTATAGATAAATGAGCGTTTGTCTCATGATGTAAGATTCAGGCTAATCAATCGTGTATTGATTGCGACGTTTCGACTACTATGCTGCTAGACTTTGTCAGGCGACGAGCTCGAAAATTTTCGTGTCGCGTTTCTAGCACATCGGTTTGATGTTATTAGTGAGTTACTAGCGTAACCTCAAAAGGTTACCTATGTGACTGAGCATACAATACGAACGCACACAGTGATCTCTATTCATTTTAGATGATGGCGCTAATTTTGCTTGATGAGAGTAGCGGTTGAGGTTACGTGTGTGTGTATTAAACTAAACTAAGAAGAATGCGTTGCGAAACGTAAAGTTAACCTGACTAAAAATGAAGCGATTGCACGGAAAACTGAATACCAGAACTACACCAATAATACATACAAAAGGTAAACAACGTAAATGCAAAAGAAATATAGACTGACTAGTCTAGCTCCTAACGATTGCAAATAGCTTGTAGCGATTATCTGGCAACGACGATTTAGCAGCGATGATTTAGTAGCGATGATTGAAATAGAATCTTTATACGTGTACTTAAATGGGAATTGATCGGAGATAACAAACTTGTTGGGTAATAATCATTAACTAACGAAAGACTTATTGATTAAAAACGAACCAGAACAAAAACGATAATAAAGTGTGTATTAACTAAGCGTTTCGAAACTAATAACTGGTGCATTTCGATCCTCATTATTCAAAAGTTTCTCTCCTCAGTTGGGGCGCTGAGAGTGGATGTAAATTCACTATTTTGCTGGATCTTCGCAGAATATTTTCTTTATACAAGCAAATTCTTGCTTTTGAAGAAATAAAATGCAGCTTTTGTGTGCTTCACAGTCATGGAATCCCATTATAACTCTTGAGAAAAAAGAATTTGAAAAAGCCTAGGTAGTGGAAAGGAGATATTTGAGTTTTAAAATCAAATGTCGTTTTCAAAGAATTCTCTATCGCGCAGAGGACAAATTTCTAAACTTTATTTTTCATTCCGAGTTAATCGGTCTGCTGTGATATTGCTGTCAGTTAATAAAAAATTATTATTTGGCCTACATTGCGTAATAGAGTCTGACATCATATCTCGTTTCGAATCAAGTTTAATTTAAAATAAGCAAGCGTAATCACAGCCTGTTGAAGACGATCATTTAGCAAATAGCTTTGCGATAGTATAGACAGAATAACGCAAAATGAAGCGAGACTCAATGCAGCTCTACGAGTTCTATTGCGAACTCGCCGCCGTTTAATAACCTTCTGAGCGCCCGGAACAAGCGACAAGCCAGTGAAAATATCATAGGCATAATCGTAATATCTTTCACCTAAACCTTAAAGACTTAAGTTTACAACACCCTTCAAAATTGATCTGGAAAGCAATGAATTTTTTTCTTACCAAGAGCGACGGTAAACTGTGTTCCCAGTTCCTGTGCGACTTTTCCCATAGCAATGCTAACGGCTGTCTCATAAGGAGTAGTATACGGGAACAAAGGCATACCGCCCCAATCACCCACAACCAGAAATCTCAGTTCATCGCAGCGAACGTAAGCTACGCTAGTAAGGAAGATCGCCAAGAGAATATGCTTGATCGCCATCATGTTTTCGTGCGTTACCAATGAGATTATACCCGGGATTATGGTAAAGTAAACCAGCTCTACCAGCTGACCCTCACGTGATAGTGATGGCATGATGTTAAAACTTCCGGTGTCAAAGTACTTGTTCCGGCCTACCACCTCTGATAATGGGTAGCCTGCAGTGCAGGCGTCTTATTAGTGCGGGCTAATGTTATAAGCTCGCGATCGTATATCAGACCGGCCATGTTTGATTTGGAGTTAAAGTGGACGGCGGGGGTAGGGGGCGGGGGAAGGGCGAAAATACGCCTGCCCGAGGTAGCCTACGTGTAGCCGTACCCTTCCCCCTAGGGTGAAACGGAGGCGCTTCCGTTTCACCCCAGGGGTGGGGGGAAGGTACGGCTACACGTAAGGTTAGCCCGAAGAGGCTATGTACAACCCCTGATTAGTTGCGCTTCACTGCATTTCGGGAAGTGAGCAGGTAATTTATCAAAATGAGTTAAATTAAAAAACCGGAAGTACTGTCTTCCGACAAAAACAAACACACGAGCTGATGAGTGAAACGGTGAGCCAGTTGCTTTATTAATCTCTTTCTCCTTCTCCTTCCGCGTGCTCTTCCCAGTTCTGTTTGCTGTCCTTGAATCTCTTTTCTCCTTTTTCTTTTTCTTGAATTCATTTTCTCATGTCTTTCTGCATCTCTGTTATCCACATCACTATCACCGTCTCTTCTCGCTTTTACTCCCTTTTCTCCTTTTTCCACTTCACCACGCTCACCACTTTTCATTTTTGTTCTTCTTCGTATTCTTTGTGCAAACGAATACTATTTAATTTCTCGCTTCATCCACTTTTTGTTTCTTTTATGCGCAGTTCACGGATTGACCATGATCTGCGCATTAGACTCCGTGAATCTTTTCTTTTCGATGAGTGATAAGTTGGAAGCAAACGAATGAAGTCAAATAGACAAATTCGCTCTGAAAATCACTGAGATAATTACTGAAAAAGAAAATAAGTCATTAGCCTCAGTCATTGGAAAATATGACCGTGGAAATGTTAGATTATTTTGGAACTACTCTTTACAGCACACAGCTCGCCAGTCAGTGACTTTAAATTGACTCAGTGACCGCTCCTCTGCAATGACTGTTTTGTTGTAAAAATCCTCAAGCCGCCCTCCAGCGCGTCACGCCATGCCCTCTAGTGCGTCACGCAAAGCCTAGCGAAGTTTACCGCTTGCTTTGCTCTATCTTCGCCTTATGCTCAGAGCAACACACAGATAGGCCTTGTAGTTTAGATTGTAAACGTTCTTGTGCTCCACCAAATAAGTTGATTGTTAATTAAAGGAATGACATAACATTTTAATGCGGTCAATAAATGAAATCTGCTTATGATATGAATCAGATATAAGATTTGCTCTCGTTTTATCCTCTCACTATATTTTTTTACCTGTATGTTCCATACTTCGTTGATGTACACACACTGTTTGTCTTTTGGTTTGTTTTTTAAGGTATGACACCTTACTCAACGAGTTTTTCTTTCCTTCACATTCTACGAATTATTCATGAAGTAATTTCAAGCTGCTTGTAATGCGAGAAAGGGCGGGCAAACTGTTGAACAAATTGTGTATAATTCAGCTTACTATAGAATATCGAATGGACTCCCTCCGAGGATAGGACGTGACAACATATTTACTCCAGTAGAAAGCCTCGTCTTAAAGAAAATTAAATGTCGAAAGAAATCCTACGGATTCATCGAGCCATTTAGCACAATCCTATTTAGTGGCGTAAAACCTTGACCAGAGTAATCAACACCAGCCAGTTACAGCAAAGGAATATATCACGAGGCGCCCATAAAACGCAAAGCAAAAACGAGCAAACTGTGTAACTCGGGAAAACGCGAGTGACCAGGTCGAGATTTGCTGTGTTCACGTCGCCTTATGTTCTGCAGTTATTATTTGGTAAAATATTGCATTTCATATGCTTTCCCCTTTAAAATTCCCCCTGATTTTTGTCGGAACTACTCGGTTTTCTCTGATCTTTTCAGGTAAATTTGCATCAAGAAATTCCTATTTCTAAGAGCTCGATATCCAATCCACTGATCATGAATTTCCTCCAAAAACACCGAGGCGCTCGCCTCAGTCTTTGCTCGTTCAAGCACAATTTTCTCTCTAGGTGAAGTACATAACACTCTCTCTGCAAAGTGTTGTTTTTCGATTACCATTTTATCGTGTTTCTGCTCGCAAATAATGTGATCATTGAAACTTAAACATTTGGTGCTGATTTTATGTCCATTTAGAATGAGACATAACTGATAGACGCCCAGAATGCCGTCTGAAGATGTTAGGAAAGACTTTATTGTCGCAACGACCGGCAACTATTTTGGTATCCAAAGTTCTGACAATGTTCTGGCTGAAGTTACTGCCTCGAAAGAGCTCAATGTTTTCCTGGATGATGGAAATTCGCCGGTTTTGGCTGCAAAATACGACGTCCATCAAGGAAAGAAAACGATCAATTTGTTAAACCATGTCGAACCCAGTGACACTGCTGAGAAGGTATTAGTGTTCTTCAAGCTTCGTCCGGAGGCCATTACACCAGACAATGTCCACGAAAATGTTTTCGTCTCTTCGATGCTTTCCTCGCCGGTGAACACCTTGTATCATTCCGTGCAGAAATTATTTGCTCCTTTGCTGCTAAAGGATGAAAAATGGAGCCGAAATTTTGACCCGAAATTACAGAGTTTGTTGAGCGAACTCGAAGCTGGGCTAGGAAGTGTAGTACGTAAACAGGACAGCTCATCTTCGCGAGCAGCTAATGTGGGCGATGAAGAAAACCTCGGTGGTATTTTGACTCCTCAAGACGAGTTTCAATACTGGTCAGACGCAGCAGTATCAGGCTATGATCTGTCTGAGAGGGAAAGAGCGTCTTTTTTCCAAGAAACTTTTCAGAAAGGTAAGCCGCCATCTTAAAAAAAAATGATTTGCTTATATTGTCGTCCATAGCAACTGATGCAGGTCGGACGCGATAATTTTCCCCGTTAACTGATACAAGAAGAGATGTCTCAGATTGAAACAGTAATTTTCCTTACGGCTTTACTGACAAGTGTTCATGATTTGTTTTCGTTATATAAATACAGTTAACTTATGTGTTACAAGGACAAGGTGAAATAAGCAACACCATTTTGAATGGTTTTCATAGGTTGCTATTTGGCTGAGTCACGCATATTTTCAAAGACATTTCCCTCACTCATCCGTCAATCCTCAAAATTTTTAAGAAAAGAAACCTTTTATTTTTTCTTATTGTAATGGAGAAAGAAAACTCCTTTTTTCCATAATTAAGTTTAAAATGTGCTCTAGTGTGGAAATATATTTAAATGGTAAATTGAGAAAAAAAAATGTCGATATACAGGGTTCTTGGTACAGTTCGAGATAGGCTAGTATTCCTGAAAGGTAACTATTGATAAGTGTCAACCCATTTGCTCCTGGGAGTCAGAACTGAGGAAAATTTTCTTTTTATATTAATGGCAACATCAATTTCAAGCAGAAAGGCATGAGAACAGAAAAAAATGGTTTGATGTAGCACTCAGTTCCCAAACTAAAAGTATAAGAAATATATAGCAAACAGGGCACAAATTTCATATTTTGATCTTTGGATGGGAGTGAGGGAGATGAGTTTTAACATCAGTCATGTGATTTTCATTTTTGCTTTCTTCACATGACAAGTGTCAAATTTTACCAGAATCTGATGGCAAAGGAGATCAAAGAGACTTATACTAAAATTATGACCAAACCTTTTATTGATATTACAGGAAATGTCTCTCAAGACTTTTCCAATCTTGATGCATTGGATCTTGATGAGACTCTAGAACTTCTGGAGTCTGCCCAAGATTCTCTAGATGAGATTTGGAAACAAGAAGACCATAAGCCTTACCCTGAGGCACGCATGAAACATCTCCTTGATGTTATGGCAGGGGCGTTGGGTCGTTATGTTCAACGTAAACTTGGAATGCTTGACATCTGGCATGACTCTTTCCAGCAAGTGAAAGATTCCATGCGCAAGGGGATTACAGTTTGTGAAAGGTGGGTGTCCACTTGCAGTGAGACACTCACATCGCAGTATTGGAAAAGGTTTCCTCCTCACCCATGGAGAGGTGAAAAATTTGTTCCTGAAAATTTGTTACAGCTTGCAGCAAGGCTAGAAGAGGTATCTGATTCAGTAAATACTTTGAAAAGATTTAATCTAATCCAACACTGAAATGTTAATAACATTCAGTTAACAAATTTTAGTTTTGAAGTACATAGTTTACCTAATTTTGCATATTTTTGTATTTTGACATTCCCTTAAAGACACCATTTTTTTCAAATCCTCTTGTCTATTTGTCTTTATTTTGTTTTCTCAAGGTTCTTACACTGAGAACAGTTCATGAACAGCTTGTCAGATTGCTGTCAACTTCAGAGAGGCAGCAGTTGCGAACATCAGAAGCCTTTCTTCCTTTCTCGGGACTAAATCCACTGCACCACAATCCCTACACAGAACCTCTGTGGAGGGCAGCTGTGGCACAGTACGAGAGGGGAATGGCTCCTGCTGAGCAGAAAATAGCTGGAAAGCTGCGACAGCAGCTCAGTAACTTGTCTGCAATGAAGTCACATCAGGTAAGTTTTATAGAATTTTGTCTTGTGTACAGAAATGGAATCAGCCAACTGTTAATTACAAATCATGGAATATTTCTAATTAATCAGTAGTTGGATGTAAGGGATAGAAAAAGAAAATCATTCAGTATTTTGAAAGGTGCATATCCAGAAAATTTGTAGGTGCTGAACTCTAAAACTTAATTCTTAATTATTGTGTTTTAATTTTTTATCTGACACAGTATAATTTTTGTAGGTGTTTTTATTAATCACAACTTACTTTTTTCCTAGCTTTTGAGAGAATTTCAGAGATATCAAGAGCTTGTGAAGAGGCCAAGTATCCGGAAAGAATTGGCTCCTGAAAGGTGAGCTGGTTGGATAAGGTTACAGTACCGCTCAAATATATGTTAAGTGCACAGACCCATTTTCATATGCTTAGACGCAAGGTAGTGAGACAGGCATATACAATTTTTATGCACCCATAGACAAAAAAAGTGTGCGACTTATGTACCCTTGTTATTAAATGCTACAAGTTTCCTTTGAGGTACATTGTTGTGTAAAACAAAGAACCTTTGGGTTTGGAAAATTGATAAGTTGACAACGGAAATATTTCATAATAAAAAGGCTGTTATGTTACACACAAACACGTCGCATGGCTTTGCAAAGTCATTGAATTACAAGTGATAGCAGTAGATTTGCTGGATTATATTTATGAATAAATTAGGTCTACCTTACCTTGTACCTGTCTAAAAATTCTTTTCTCCAGTCAAGTGCTAACAATTTTCCTATCCGTATCACCCAAATTTTAAAAACATCTGGGCCCAGTTGTTCAATCAGTGGATAACACTATCTAATGGATAAAATCACTATCCAGCAGATAACTGTTAAGAAAATGTATTGCGCTATCCATTGGATAGTGCAATACATTTGAACAACTAGGGCCAGTGGCGACCACCAGACATTACCAAAGGCAGCTGGAGAAACATTCAGATCATTTACAGTATATGAGCAAATGTGCACCTACACCACCCCCCCCCAACCTAAGAACAGTCAACTGATAACAGGGTAGGGTTAATTTTGGGCTAGGGGAGGGGTAGGTGCAGGTTCTTTATGGTAAGAGTAGACTTGACCTGGGGAACAACAGATTGCTGGTTGAATGCTCTCATCTCTTGGCCAGGCTGCCTCCAAATATGTATATTTGATGTGTGCTTTTCTTTCTTTTTTTTTACATCTTGTTTTAGAGAAACACTTCTTGGTCAGTTGACAGTGTATGTGAAGGGCATTCGGGATGACTTCATTTCAAAGACTCAGAATTCTTACTCAGGTGGAAAGGATGGTGGTGGTCCCCCTCAGGGACGTAACATGCCTGAGATTGTCAATAACATTGTATGGGTCAGACAACTTGACTCTAAGGTGGGTAAACCAAGTCTTTGCCCCTGACGCACTTGTATGATCAGTGTTGGCAGAAGTTAATAGGAAAATTGTCTTTATAAGTCTTAGCTCTGACAGTGGCTTTCAAATTAATGTTCTTATAGTACCATATGTACCTTGTGCCACATTGTCTCGCATGCATTTGTACATGTTCTCTGGAAGTATTGAGAAATGTGATGAATTATTCTGATGCAATTGTGATACAGCAGATCATGAGCCTTTATTTACTATTATAAACTTTTTTGATACAAATGTAATCAACTTTTCTTGGTGTGTAGAACATGCTGTGTGGGAATATGAATGAAATAAGATTGGGATATTGCATATTTACTGTACAGAATACAATTTTGTACTTTTGGGATGGCATTTTTTTTAGTGTACAGTAATGTAATTTTGTAATTTCAGGTGAAAGAAACACTGAGCACTGCCGAGAGCCTATTGGGAGACTTGTCTGGGTTTAAAGGCTTTAAGAGAGAAGCAACCGAGCTGAGCGAGGAGTTAGGCTCATACTGCAAGGATCAGTTTGAGAGCTGGGTTAGTGAAATGATGACAGCTATTGATGATCCAAAACAACCTCTCAGGTAAACCAACAACGGTATTTCTCAAGGTTATTCTATGACACAGCATTGCAAATCCTTCCCTCGCAGAATATTCATTCAAAGAAAAATAGAAGCTCCTGTAGTAGTTCTAGAGGTCACCGGGGAATAAGATTGTCTGAGCCATAATTCACTCCCCTATTTTGATTGGTATTATTGACTTGAAATAGATACGATGTTAAAAATACGATTTGGAGAAAGAAAATTGGAAAGCAGAAGTTGTACATAAATGTTCGCGTGTACCGCGGCATTTAATACACGCTTGATGCGCGTCCAAAACCTACGCACTGCACGCGCGAATCGCGCGTACTGCGGGTCACGATATGCATTTATGTGTAATAAAAAATGCCTGTATGTGGGAGTAAAATGCGGGTAGGTTACACGAATCAGTCAACTAGAACTTATTGAGGGCGCACATAATTCTTCAGTAGATTTTGGATCACCATGAGCAAGTCACTGCACTTTGTTGTGTTTCCGTCTTGCAGATTGAAAATGCGTTCTTCATCCGCCCTCGGTACTCAATACATGCTTTCGATACACGTTTGCAGTCTCAATTCGCCTCGGTTTGGTTCTTCATAGATTGAAATTTATCTGTTACAACCCAGACCAAAAAAAAAATTTTGCTTTTGAAAGTACTCTGCTCGCTTGATTATTTATGTTCTGGATAGATTTTTGTCTAATCTTGTTCATACCTATTCTTTGTATATTTTTAACTCTTGCCAATAACTGGTCGGTTGTTGGTTTTGTAAAACTGTATTTTAGCGAAGGGGAGTATGAGATGCCTGTAACACCATGAAGGTGCATTTTTCTTTACACCTATTGCAAGATCAGGCATTCAGGTGCATGGTTCTTCAAATACATGCATTGACCACCATCAGAATACAAGAGGTTTTTGTTGTGCAAATGAGAGAACTTAGAACTGAACAAGTTCTTTTCCCTTGAAGCTTACAGACCAGTGGTCGATTGATGGATCTGGACCAGAGGGATGGGAAGTTGAGAGTTCATTATGGTGATAGGCTTGTGACATTAATGCGAGAAGTTAGGCAGCTTTCTGCTCTGGGATTTGCTGTTCCAGCTAAAATACAACAAACAGCAAGCACAGCCAATAAATTCTACAGACATGGCATGATCCTGAAACAGGTAAAGTGGCATCGTGCTGAAGACTTTAAACAAACTTGCGAGGAAGCCCTCATTACTATTAAGCGTTTTTCGACCCAGAAAAAGTAGGAGGCTTGCCAGGGGTCTAACAATGGCAATGGGTCCAGACCCTCACCCACACTTGTCTCAAACCTTCTTAAGGGGGGAGGGGTGGGAAACGCGCGTCTTGCAGCCGTAATGACGAGAGCCTGCTCGAACTGTAGGCTAAGCTTGGCCTAAAAAAGGGTGTTCTGCAAGAGACTTAAAAACTTCTGTAAAATTGTTTATTTCGTATCTAATTTCGTCAATAATCTTTAAGCTTGCCTTTTTTTAAAGCCTCTTGCTACCATATGATAAAGTTTTATTTACATGTAAGAGTTTCCCAGGCTCCCTTTTATGCGCTATTTTACCATCAGCATGCGGTTCACTTGTGGAAAAGCCTGTTATTCAAAGAGTCGGATGCGTTAAATAGTGTGGGAAATTAGAAAAAACATTGTTGTGATTTACAGCAGCACTGGAAATTTGAATTGATTTCATCTTGAAATGATAGTTATAAGCACCTGTAACTGAATGAGTAACAGTCTGTAAAATAAAATGGTTCATACAGCTTTAGATTATTTAAAGTTTGATTTTCAGACTGATCTTTATCCTCTAGGTTGCTCATTTCTACAACACAATAGACCAGCAAATGATTCCAAGCCAGCAATCCATGATGTTGGACTCAGCTCTGTCATTTGAACGCCTGGTGAAGAATCCCAAGACAGGCTCAAAAGAGAGTGGTGGAAAAACCCAGGTGACTTGGGACAATCCACTTGAATTGGAGGCTTACATCGATAAACTTCAAGCTGCCGCCGACAAGTTGACATCAGAGAACAGGAGGCTACGCAAGTGTCATTATAACATCAGTGACAAGGTAGAATATTTGTTGTTTTCATCTAAATGTATGTTGAAGTATAGTTATACTGTATTTATTTCATCTTTCTCTGCCCCCTCTCCTTCTCTTTTACCCTGAAAAAAAGCCAAAACACAGAAGTAACATAGACAGCAGCATCTAATCGTGTGAAAAATAAATCGCACAAAACATCCCTAGCTTCACATCTCGAAATCCTCGAAACGTGACCAAAAAAATTTTCACGAAAACGCTGAATAAATTCTTGAACGGCCTTGAATGTCTGGAATCTTGACTCCCGTCTCAAACCTCAAGGTTTTCGAGAGTGAAAGGTTGGGAATCGTGGATCGAGAATCAATGATCGAGAATGGTAGATCGAGTTTCGAGAGACTCTCAACTCACATTCGAGCGATTCCGCACTCTTAGTCGCTTCAGTTTGTTAAAACATGCATGGGATAAGCACAAGTAGGTATAAGACTCTGGCTTTTAGGACCAAAATTCTTAGGTTCCTGGATGTTGTGCACATTCATTAACATGAACAACTTTCCTTATCTCATGTCGAAGGTTGTGAATCTAATGAGCATCGATCTGCTTAGACAGCAACCCCGCTGGAAAGAAGCTCTTGTGTCCTTAAGAGAGATGATGACATCCCTTGTCCAACAGGTACTGTTTTGTTTCTTGTTTGTTTTTTTTTTTTTTAAACAATGTTATGCTTGTAGTTTAAATGGTAGGGCCATCTACAGTGATAGCAGTCACGGCACCATATGACTTCAACCACATGTACCCTAGATCCTCTAACCTAAGCCTCCATCAAGAGATTCAAATTATTTAAGATACTCCTTTCCCCCGGTTCACTAATTCCTAATCAAAACAGTGGACAGATCAAGTGTCAAGTGTGGTGTGGTCATTCATTTGGGCTAAGAAGGGTTTAAAATATACTTGTATTTAAAGGCCTGCAATATTTTCCGTTTTCTGCATGTCTGGGTGTCCATGCTATTTAGTTCCATGGATGGATAGGACTAATACATGTAAATGCACACTTATTGGTTCCGCCAGTGTTAAAAACAGGTTTAGGGGTGGTGTGGCAGTGGGGAAGTTGTGGAACACTTCGAATTACCTTGTTTTTTTAAAAAGGGGTTTAAAGCAGACAACATGAAGACCTGGAAGATGCACTGGGATCGTCAGCTGTACAAGACTTTAGAACATCAGTATCAGATGGGACTTGAGGCCCTGAACGAGAATCTGCCAGAGATAAAAGTTGAACTGGTCTTTAGGTTGGTAGATATTCAAAACCCTAAGCCCTCTGATCCTATTACGAAACCTTTTACTCCCGGAAGCGACTCATGAGTAAATTCTCCTCATAATATCGATCAAAATTTTTAAGCCATAGTTGGCGAGAAGAAAGCCAGATATCTACGAGGGGATTTTCGGTTTGTTTTCACACAGATCTCTTTGAGTTTAAAATATGAAACAACAATATTGAAAACAAAAGCTACAAAAGTTTAAGGGCATGTAGAGAGCATTGACACAGAGATCTTAATAACACCTAGAAAGCTGACTACTTTCGAAAGTGGGTAGATTTGTAGTCTTCTTCTGGTGGTTCGCTCGAAGAATATCACATTCATTATTTTATACTGCTTTTCCTCCAATTGTAGACAGCAAAAGCTACAATTCCGTCCTCCACTGGAAGAAATCCGAGCCAAGTATTACAGAGAAATGAGAAAATTTATTTCTATTCCAAACCATTTCCGAGGAGTCGGTGAAGACAACAGTATCTACCCAATCATGATTGATCAAAACTCTGCAGGTTTTACAACTGTCTACAAGAAAGCAGAGGATCTCTTCAGGCGTCTAGTGGAAGTACAGGATCAGTTTAAGGACTGGGTAGTACTGGGGACTGTGGATCTTGAGAAGCTGATTGAGACTCACTTGCAGACTGTTCCAGACTGGGAGAGGAACTTCAAAGCCATAAAGACTAAGGGGAGAGAAGCTGAAAAACTACCTTTGTGAGTTGTTGCTAATTCTCAAAAGCCTGAATATATCGCTGCTACCCATAACTCGAGTATCTGGTGCATATTTCGTCGGTAGTTTTTGTTGGAGAAAAACCTCAATGTTTGCAAATATTGTTTATTTTAGGGGGTCAGGATCGACCGTTATTATTTTATTTCAGGGAAGGGTTAGCTATTGTACATGTAGGAATACAATGGTTGATACTTTGTAAATTTGTGAGAATGTCATGCACATTGTATATTAAGAATTACGTAAGTATCTGTAATTTTTTCCTTAGCATAAGGGAACCTGGTTTGCTCCTCCAATTACAGTTTTTTTATTTCGCTAATGAAGTCTGTGCAATCAGATCAAAACAGTCAGAAAGTGGAGGAGCATAACGTGTGCGCTGTTGGCCTCTAATCGTTAAATAACTATGCAATGGTTAAGACATTTTCCCACTCCTTCAGTTTATGAGTTTGCAAAACTTGATGCACGGTTACTTCTATATCAAGAGGATCATAAATGATGTATTTTTCATCAAGTCAATCCAAAATTCGCGATTCTTCTATATGAAATCATTCTTTTTGTTCCGGACAGGAATATAAAGGTTGACTGCATCAGTGTTTCTACTTCACCTGTCAAGTCAACAATCGACGACCTCATACAGCAGTTATTTGATGCGCTGTTGACGTCTCTGCGGCGCTCCATAACAAATGAAGTGCAGATCATTGACACCTTTTTGACATCTGCCACGGAAGCTCTTTCATCCAGGCCACAAACTGTTGAGGAGATAGGAGAGGCCAATGCCAAACATGCAGAACTGGCCACAGAGAAATTAAAGGCATGTCTTTGAACTTGTAAGGTGTTGTTATTTTCGTTAAAAAGCGAGAGATCGTGCACTTTAAAAATGGCTCGTGTTCGCAACACACATAATTCACTTAAAACACTATTTGAAGCCTCTCGGTTGTTTAACCCTTCACATTCCTCTCTATAAATTTCTTTGGTACGGACAGAGAGATGTTATTGTTTTGGAGTGATACTGTAAGAAGAAATCTGATACTAGTAACTTTTAGGGTTTATGGGGTTGATGCTTGGAATGTGCAACTATTACCCCCAAGATCACCTGCTTGTCTACATGCAAAATTTCTTCCTTTAGAAACAGCTGACTTTGATCGATTTTGTGTCAGAACAAAACATATACCATAGTATAGGCATCATGCAGTAACTTTCCTGATTATCTGTAGGTTTTCCCATTATTTGAAAAAGCTGAATCCAAGAACAAGTTGTTGCGTTCAGTTGCTGGCGGAGGGGTGGATCAGATTGGCCAGCTGCAGGCGAGGTGGGACAAGTTTGAAATGATGATGGAGAGTCATGAACTGATGGTTAAAGAACAGGTTAGTAAATGCAACTTGACCAGCACGCTATGAATAGTCGCCATTGATTTTCGAAAGTAACCTATATAGCAATTTTTCAATGGTAAAACCTAAAAATGCTCCATCTCTCTTACTCCAATGTTCTCGACGTTGAGTACCTATGCATGCAAAACTTTTCTGGAAGTGAATTTCTGATGCGGTGAATGCTGTGGAGTGGTTAAGATACTTGACATACGAAGTATCGATTGCATAAAGTGCAGCTTTAGGTTTTTAGCGTCCTAAATATTTTTTTTTTGTGTGTGAAAAAAAAAAATACTGTCAACTCAGAGGGCAGCACAAAAACATCAGCTTGATGAGATAGAGAAGTGGATGGCAGGCAATACTGTACAAAGAAAGTACTAGGATGGCTGAGGGTGGGGAAGGTTAAAATGAATTCCAAACAACGAACAGTCTCAGTCTGTCGAGCTATAAAGTTTGCAAGATGCAGGGACCGTTGTCGGTACCAAGCTTTGAAATGATCTTTTGACAGGTGGAAGTGATGAAGAGCAATGTCGAGTCAAGGGTGCAGGCCTTCCAACAAGAACTGGACAAATTCAGTGCCCGCTGGCACCAACTGAAACCCCGTGACATCGATGAGTACAAGGACAAACAGTCGTGCCTGGCAGCAGTCAATTCAATCAATGAGAGAAAGGCAGAGTTTAGTGAACTGGAGGAAACGATGAAAAAGCTCATGTAAGGGCACAGATACATGTAGTTCAGTAACTTGGAGATAGCGTAGACAATCGTATTCATATAAAACTTGTTGAATGGATCTGTATTACTTAAATGAGATTTTGATAGATCGCCTAAGTCACGGATTTAAACGTGATTATGTGATTTAGAAACCCTTTAATTCAACTATGCGCACTCGAAGTCTTCCTTTGAAAAACAAATCATGGCAATCTATAGGAAGTAAAAGGGTAAAGTTCCTTTAACTCTAATTCAAATCCTGAGTCGTGAAAGCTTTGACAAGTTATTTTTTAGCCTTATTTCCCCACCATTGCTGGTTCGCTCACTAGATGTACTTTTTTTCGTGGCTTCTTTTGTCGTCGATTCCCTGCTAGCTACCAACTTTTGATCGACTTAGTGCAGAGCTGTAAGGTTTGCAGTGAACAAATGAGATAACCTTAATTTTTCAGCTTTGAATGTCAGCACTTTGGCGTTGCTGAGCCTCAGTTTACGGCAGCAGAAGAACTCAAAGTCGATATCTCTCAACATGAAGCAATGTGGGGACTGTATGAAGAGTTCAGTAACGGATTGGAGGAGCTGGCTAAGGAAGACTGGATATCATTCAGGTAAATTATACTGCAATAGGCTATGGTAGGTTGTCGAGAGATCTTCGGCACATGAAATTTGAAGAAAAACTCCAATAGTGCGTCGTTAAGTTATAAGATAATGAAGCCGTTCATGACCTTCAATGAATGCGTCTCAAAGACAGTCGACTGGGAGGTGGACCTTAATGAAACTATCCAAAGAACTGAAAAAAGTAATCGTCCAAATCAGGTTAGTTGGCGGCTACGATTCAGTACAAATCAATGTTTCGTTGCACAGTGAAACAAAAAAAAATCGTGAAACTAGTAGTTGACAATATTAAATAGCAATGCCAATATGTTTGAGCTGCGTTGAAAATATTATATAAAGTGTTTCCCCTTCCTACAATGCAATTTGGCATGAGTGTAGACGGAAGGAATGACGATTACTGCAATCTTTCTGTACAGGGGTCATCTCTATAGATTTGATGACTTTTTGACGGCTTGGTCCGAGAAACTAAGAGCTAAGGAACCAACAAGTATGACTGTGAGACTGCAGAAAGATGTCGACAAATACAAGGTTAAGACTGATCCAGTGACTTAGTTGTCGTTGTAATGTACAGAAGTTTTAAAACCAGTGTAAGGCTTAAGAAATCGCCTGAGCAGGAAAACAAAAAGTCGACGTTTTGAGCATGAGCCCTGCAGTAGAGGACTCCTTTGTTACATGCCACTGGTTGTAGCTAGAGAGAATCATTCTGTCTTGCTCCGAAACGGAGCAAACGCTTTATAGCTTGTGAGGGGTACCAATCCTTTTCAGGGAGTGAAAAGCGAAGTGATCGCAAAGCTAAACATCACAGGGAACTGGTGAAAAGTTGGCAAGATACAAGTGGCATGGGAAACGCGAATCGGGTCATTGTTAAATGTGTTTGGTTGGAGGGCATGGCGCAAATTTTCAAGATCAATTATTCTGCGTGGTAAAGTTAGGATATTGCATTGGAGTACTATCAATTGAAATACGTTCAAATACTCTATAATTAGATGTTCTAGTGTATTGAAATACAATAATTCCGATTGGAGTGAGAAGACTTCAATGTGTTCTCCTTTTCTTTAGAACATTGTTCCTCTTCTAAAGTATGTCCGTGGAGAGGCGTTATCTCCTGACCACTGGTTAGAGCTTTTCAGGCTTCTGAAGATGCCCAGAGGTACCATCTTGGAGAAGCTGACATTTGGAGATGTTCTCGAGAGTGCTGATCAAATCATTGCACACGCTGATGCTCTTAAGGTGAGATTAAGGTCACCTTAACTGGGTAAATACCAACAACAGCCAACAGCCAACGACGGCTCGTTACTGACCTACGCACAACCGCGTGATCAACGTCAATCAAGTCCTGTCGATATCATGGTTAAGTGAGCTGTTTTCCCTCAAAGGCTAGGAAGTGACGTTTATGATTAGTCTTTTCTTTTGACAGGAACTAAACAGTCGGGCTCAAGGAGAAGTTTCAATCAGGGAAGCCCTTAGAGAATTGGAACTGTGGGGTGCTGGTGCTGTATTCTCTCTCACGTCATACGTAGACTCACACAACAAAGAATTATCCATCATCAAGGACTGGAAAGATCTGGTCAATCAGGTTAAAAAAAAAATTCAACTTTGAATTCAATTTGCAATTGTACGCAATTGTTTCTTACAGCAATGTAATAGGGCCACTTTTACTCGGTGCAATTTTTACCTAGTAAGGCAAAGCGAGCATGCAGCTTTGTATGCTATTTTTTTATGTTAGCACCACCTCTCAATACTTGATAAGGTTTGATTCTTACTTTTTACATCATCTTGTTTCATTTCAAGGTTGGTGACAACCAATGCCTGCTGCAGTCATTAAAGGACTCTCCTTACTATAAAGGGTTTGAAGACAAAGCTTCCTTATGGGAAACCCGTTTAGCCGACCTTGATGAGTATCTTCACAACCTTAACCAAATCCAAAGAAAGTGGGTTTATCTGGAGCCCATTTTCGGCCGGGGAGCTCTCCCCAGAGAACAGGGAAGATTCAAGAGGGTGGATGATGATTTTAGGTTTGTTAAAGTTAATTTTTATTGAGATTATCGACATGAGTGAAAAGCAGATGTCTTAAAAATAAGATAACGGTGCCTTCCGAAAGGAGGCAATCGCGGGTCTTTTTTTTTCTTTTTGGCTAATTTTTGTTTCGATATATGCAAATAAAATGCTTGGGATGGGTATTTGCTCACCTGCAAACTTATTAAAAAGCTGTGATTCTGGTTGTTGAGTTAATGTGCGTTAAACGTAGCAGAAGTAGACGTGCACACTTAGGCTTAATGAAAGAGAAAGAACGAATAAGTAATGGAAATTTACTCGGGCCACGATATGTAAAATTGCTGCAGATATCGTCTTTACATGTTTGTGTGCATGAGGCGAATTTTGGTACATGTTGGTTGGTAGGTCTCAAAGTACCCATTTAACCGCAGTTGGGATAAACTTTTAAGAGTTCTCGCGTAATATTGATTTTTCTTTATCATTGCTTTTCCATTCTATTAAACATGAATTAAATTTTGAAAATGTTTTTGCTGTTCAGGGCCATCATGCACGACGTTTCAAATGACAACCGAGTGTTGTCACTTGTGGCTCAGTCAGGCATCAGAAACACTTTGGTTACACTCTTAGATCAGCTGCAGAGATGTCAGAAGTCTCTTAATGAATTTCTTGAGGTAAGAATTGTATTTCTATAGATTTTCATTGTGCTTTTGGTACAGAGAAATGGGCAGAATAGATCTAATTTCTGAAGAAGGTTGTATCAAGTACCCGTTGAGTAAAGGGTCCGCTCTCATTTTCGCTATAAGCTATTGTGTCATTTCTTTTTATACCACGCACTTTGACGTTCTCTTTGGCAATTAGCCTTTTCACCTTCCAAAGTGATCACATGCCATTTCTCCGTACAACAGTTGATAAGAATAAGGTTATCTTATCTGCTAGAGTAAAGTAGTACATGTATCTTGATTCAAGGTACCACTTACCTACAGTAACTATTAATTAGGAGTTGTTGAGTAACAAGAGAGCGGAATCGCTTATAAGATAAGTTTCATCAGCAATGGAAGCCTAATGGCTAAACTCATTCATACCTTGAAAAACAGAACAGAGAAATTAAACTAACGCGATATCTCGTTAAAAATAACGACGGATCTCAACGCGTGTCGTTCACATTGAGTAATAATTTTTCACACAGGAAAAGCGCGCGCTCTTCCCACGGTTTTATTTCATCGGTGATGACGATTTACTAGAGATTCTTGGTCAAGCTACCAACCCACTAGTGATTCAGTCGCACCTGAAGAAACTCTTCGCAGGGATACACAGTGTTGTGTTTGATGATGGATGTAAGACCATTATGGCCATGAAGTCCCTGGATGGGGAAGTTGTCCCTCTCAAGAGGCCAGTCACAATAACTCCAGAGGTTGAGGTGAGTAGTAGTGGTGTGGTTTCCAATGAGAGCTTGAGATAAGTTTTTTTATACTGAGTTTCGAAAGTAATGCAGGACTGCATTTTTTTTTTTGCTACCCTTCAATGATTAGCCTGGTAACCTTTCGCCATCTCTTCAATAAATCAGATGCAAAACTAAAGCTAAACTGAAGTAAACACAGCAACTACTCAGAACACAGGTGAACGTCATTATTAGCTAATGAGAACTCAAGATAAAAACAGGCAAACTGTTTAAAGTGCAGGAATGCGCGAGTGATTATTTCGTGACAATTTGTAGTTTTGCATCTGTTTGCTTGTGTAGATGATGCGAGATTTCTTCTTATCACAATGCAATGCAAAAGTTTAGATTACAAACTGTTTTAATTATCCTCCACCGTTGTTGTTGATGTTTTTTTTTCATTGATAGGTTTGGCTCGGTGATCTTGCTACTGAAATGAAAGACACACTGAAAAAGCTGGTGGTTGATTGTTTAAATGCCAGCAGGAAAGGAGGATCGAGTGGTGGAGTTGACCCTTCCAAGTTCCCCTCACAGGTGTGGAAGTTTTTTTCCTATATTCTTACGCATCTAAGGTTCGGTTCATGGCTGGTGTGATGAGGCGTCTCGTGTCGGCAAGAAATGTTCTCCGTAAAGATATTTGATGATAGGAAGTAGCCGCCTTTAACTAGGCACTACTACGACTTTAATCGTTCTTTTCCTGAGAAGATTTTATACACAGAATATGATTATTTCATGCGCTGTGTGTAATTTGAAGTTTTTCAGGAATTTATTTTTGGTCAGCAATTCTTCAGTTTTGACTTGAGTTGTCAGATAACGGTTTGTACAACAATTTTGCCAAGATATTCTTAGCAGTTATCAGTTATTGATAGTAGCATTATTATAATTGTTATTATCGTTATTATCTTATTTCGCACAGATACTTTGCCTTGCTGAACAAATTCAGTTCACAGACCGCTGCGAGGCGGCCATCAAAAGCAACTCCCTCCAAGAGTTTCAGATCGAGATGGAGTCCCAACTGGAATCTTACACAAACACTGAGATCGGAGGAGGGAACTCATCTGACTCGGAATCTCGTGTTTTGGAACTCAAGCTGAAGGCGCTGATCCTGGATACGATTCACGCCATTGACGTGGTACAGCAGTTGATCAAGCACGGAGTCAAGTCACTGGACGACTGGATTTGGCAGAAACAACTTAGATTTTACATGCAGAAACAAAGGGGTCTGTTGAGCAACGAAAGTTGTCATTGGTTCTCTCACAATTGTGGAACAAAGAAACTTCTGAGTCCCACACGAGGGATTGAATCCCACGCATTTGGCACTTCAATGCTCTACCACAGGACGCTCTTGTCACCGCTTATCCAAGCGGTATATAGGAAGCCTGTGGTATATGACCTAGAAATCGCCCTGCTTACCAGCGAGTTCTCTGTAGTTCAGTGGGGGACTCGGATGTTTTTCTTTTTCCCAAGCTAGTTAGCTAACAATTTACCATTTTTCTTTCTATGCTCACACATAAGAGTTTGATTAACTTTAGTTGCATGTCTTTTCTTATGCACGCGAAAGATAGGTAGGGCGGTTCGCAGACAAGGGAGACTGTTTCGGTTATGCCACGATATTTCGAGTCACTGTTTCTAGGATTTTCCTCGTGATAATTTTTGGATGAAAGGTTTAAGCTAGTATAGTAAGTTAAGAAATGATTGACGAAGTAACGGCTATCTTTAAATACGCTAAGTTTTGATAGCGAAAAAGAGATTAACAGAGACACTTGCGTTGTTTTCAATCTTCATATTCTTGATTTTTCCTTTTAGTTTAGTGGACTTATTGCACACATGATTCTTAGAGGTAATTTTGAATAATTATTTTACTTCACAGAAATCTGTTTGATTCGAATGTGTGATGCCGAATTCTACTACACTTACGAATATCAAGGAAATGCGGCCAAACTTGTGCACACTCCTCTCACGGACAAGTGTTACCTAACTCTCACCCAGGGCATGCACATGGGGCTTGGTGGAAACCCATATGGGCCGGCAGGAACCGGAAAGACTGAGTCAGTTAAAGCTCTGGGAGGCTTGTTTGGCCGGCAGGTTCTTGTTTTCAACTGTGATGAGGTAAGAAAGTCAAACGCTTCAGCGAATGACCAAGACAAAATTTCTCCTCACAAATCAACACAATATGAAGCAGGCGAGTTATGAGAATAAAGAAAAACATTAACCAAGGGATTTTTAGTTGATCCAATACCAAATTCTCCAAACTAAAATCACGAGAACTACAGTTTGTTTATCACAGACAGTAAGGAGAATTACTGATGAGATCTTGGGAGTTATAGGCTTAAGCCTCCTCGTGCAAGTCCGAGTTCTCTTAAGCTGAGTTTCAAGAGCATCTGAGCTGAAATCGATGCTGGCTGTAGTTAGAATCTTAACAAGAGAATCATTTAAATTTTACTCGTTCCATTATCGTGATAGATGTTTACCATTTATCTTACCTTAAAAAATGCATGCTTTCTGATGAGCAGAGTGCAATAATTACAGTGTAGTTGGTGCTTAGATTGATTTTGTTCCATGTCTTTGTTTTTGTAGTTTGCATTGTTTAATTGATAATTCAACTTGTACATTAAGGGTATTGATGTCAAATCCATGGGTCGTATCTTCATCGGGCTGGTGAAATGCGGAGCGTGGGGCTGTTTTGATGAGTTTAATCGTCTGGAGGAAGCCGTGTTGTCTGCTGTGTCTATGCAGATTCAGACCATACAAGCTGCGCTTAAGAGTAAACTGTCCTCGACTGAGCTGCTCGGGAGACAGGTACAGTATGTTTGGATTTGTAAAGCTGGATTTCTTCTACACTTGGGTGTTGAAGTGGATTTCATTTGGCTTGTTGTGTTTTTAGAGTTAATGCAACAGTTTTATCCAATTTATCGTTCTTTCACGACGTATTTATTTTTCAGTTGGAGCTCTCGTGGGCACCCTCCTGCAAACGCTTCGTGTTTACTCTTGTTCACTTGCTCTTTGTTCATTACTTTCATTTCATCTTCATCAGGAAATTTTCAAACCGAAATTACACCTAAGCGCAAGATGCGTCCTCTACACGGCGCACACCAGTAAAATGATGTATTCAATTGCCAAATATCGGTTGAAATGCGTTCTCTCTCTCTATGCATTATAATGTGTTAGCTCTTGGGGATAAACCTGATATAAAAGTATTTTTCCCAGCGTTTCCAACTTACCACACTAATCACACAATAAACTCTGTTTTTGCGAACTACAAGGTCGCAAATATATAACGTCTACTTTATCTATTTTTCACCGGTAATGCTTAAAGCAATTTACATGATCTTTACTTCAGGTTTTCTTCATTGTAGGTTGAGTTAGATCCTAATTCAGGGATCTTCATCACTCTAAACCCGGCGGGTAAAGGCTACGGGGGACGTCAGAAACTTCCAGATAATCTGAAGCAGTTATTCCGTCCTGTGGCCATGTCTCGACCCGACAACGAACTGATTGCTGAAGTAATCATGTTCTCAGAAGGGTTTAAGGAAGCCAAGAGCTTAGGGAGAAAACTGGTGGCCATTTTCAATTTATCAAAGTATGATAGTACACTGATAAGTGTTTAATGTTGAACTTAATCCGGAAATGCATTGTGTTTTCTTCGCCTCGCCCTGTGATTGGACTGGAAAACTCGTGCTACCCTCTTACTGAGCCAGATAAAAAACTAAAACCAATGGCGGCTTGCTCAGTCACGTGCTCTCACTGATATGCCTGTTTGCTTGCATTGACTTTAATTTTAATTTAGTAATTCTGTTACTTTCTGTTTGTTCTGATGAACTCGAATGAGAGAAGTGGGAGAATTGACGATAACGTAATTCGAACTGAAATAGTTTTTGTCCTTTGATTTTTCAGGGAACTGTTATCCCAACAGCAACATTATGATTGGGGGTTGCGTGCACTTAAGACTGTTCTGAGAGGATGCGGAAACCTGTTACAGTCGCACAAACAGACGAACGGGCAAGGTAGGGCTGAGTACACCCCGAACAGAGGCTAAGGAAAATAGAACAATTGTAATCACTTGTTTAGTTACTTTTTATGTTCCTCCTTGTAATTTCATTTTTAAGAGGAAACAGAGCTTCGGACCCGGGTATAAATTTCAATTTTTCAGTAAGGACCAATGTGAAGCTCCATTAACGCGGTCTCAGAATCTTTCTCTTTTGCAAAAGTTTGACTGAAAGGAAGTAAGACTAATTGTTGTTAACACGATTCGTGCGCTAAAGGATATTCGTGCTCAAGAATGTATCCTTCCTCAAAGAAACTAGCCGCACTTAGCGATGGCAAAGTAAAACTACCACCCCAGCAAAGTATTTTTGGAAGATAGGTAAAAGTCACTGCATTTCCCAGGAATGCGGCGATGGAGAGAAATGTGCAGGGCGACCAAAAATACAGCTGACTGTATCCAAGTGCGGTGGCAGTTACGCTCTAAGTGTCTCCACCTCTTCCGATTACGTGCAGCATTTTTTCATTAGTAGCATTAGGTTATTAACATTACAGAAGCTTTGTGTCTGGGCGGATATGCATTCGATAATACAATCAGCTGATTTTTTATCTAAACAGCCCTCCGTGAACCAGCAAAGAATACGACATCCTTAAAATCAGACCTACAAATGTAACCCCAAACTTTCCATTCCTCATTTTTATTCCATTCAGAGAAACGTATGGTGATGAAATGAGCTTCATTATTCATGAAAATACCACAAACTGATGCCAGCGTTTACAACGATGCTCTCAAGTTATCAGTTTCAATTTTTGTTTTGATATTGTTTGTGTGAAACATTGTAGTGTATTTTGCTGTGGGTTTAAAATGACTGAGAGGTTCTTTATACGTGTAGTTAAAAAAGTCTTTTGAAATTGCCTTGAAAACTGCTTTGACCTTACTTGTTGCTCACTTTTAGTGGTACAAATTATACTTGCTCCTGTGTTGATTGTTTTTACAAACTTCAAATATACAATGAAACATAAACCGCAGTATGTTGTCGTCGAATGAAAATTTGTCGATCCGCATACATCACACAATCTGAAATGTTCTTAGAATGCAAATAACAATGCCTGCCATTAAACGACTTTTTATTCATTACAATCATAGCAAAATGTTGAATATTATGATATTGATATATTCTTTCTTCAAACTGTTTACATCAATTTTTTTAACTGCTTATTTGGAATTTTTTCTTAATTTGCTGTTTATATTTTTTTTTCCGATTGACGTTAACTTGCGTGTTGTCATAAACTTCGAAACTTGTATTGATTTGTCGATTGATTCGTTTAATTAATTCGTCCTGCTGTAATAAAATTAACCTCGTATCGTAAAACCTACCAACACAAGTTTTCGCTTCGAAAAAGGACTGATCAAAGTCTAATGTACATGCGATTATTCTTGTTAAATTTCACGTGTCCATCAATCAACAAATTACTGTACAAACAAAACAAGTATCTGGTTTCAAAAGGTAACGAAATTTTTCTTGCGTGGGGCGTCTCCATGTTTCCGACACGTGTTCCGTTGCAATCGATGATACCCTAGTTTGTAAAAACATCTGCGTTGGGTGTACTAGAATTGCCTTTAATGTCTCTCAGCCTTTATCTGTCAGAAGTGATCTACTGAGGATGTTACTTCTTAAAATTTTCAATACATTCCATAGTAAATGTGTGATAATAATGGACATTGCAAAGTGTTCTGCAAGAGATGCGAAGGAGCGACGAAATTCTGTCCCGCTAACTTAGTTGGAATTCGAACGCTGAGCCATTTCTTCCCTGTAGACAGCGCACGAGTTCAATTTGGCTCACGGCAGCTACACAACTGTCTAATCGCGTCCTTCATTGCTTGTTTAACATCTCTGATCTTCCAGCAGTAAAGAATTGGGTTCAGCGACGAGTTAAGGTAAACAAGCGACAAGACAGTGTACTCAAACATTTCAGGAATAACGGCTGGTTCTTTTATGAACATCATGAAATACACGCTAAAGGGAAGATAGCAGGCAAATAATCCTAGCTGTACCCATGCTATGGTGGAGACTGTTCTCTTGTATCGTGCTAAATTTAATGCGGTTGCTACGAAGCCGTTTGTCGCTGGATGTTGCTGAACATGGCCCTGTACATGCAGCAACTGGTATCGGAGACGAATATAGATCTTGATGTAAGAAAAGGCGGAGATAACGAGAGAAACCAACATCATGGCAAGGTATATGGATTGAGGTACTCGATCTATAACAAAAACCGAGCCGAGAAACGCAAAATTAAAAAACAAAAAAGAAACAAGAGTCGCTTGGACCCGCCTTAATGTAACAACTTGTCTGTATCTCAGCCCCAAATACAGTGCGAGAAGTCTGTCCACACTTATTGCAGTTGCTGTTAGGAGAGATAGTCCACACAAGAAGCACATGGAGGTTATCTGAATAACGACCGATACGCTGAAGTTGAAATATGATTCGTGGCTCAGAAGATTATATACGAACAGCGGTTGTGAAATGAGTCCAACGCAAAGATCAGTAAACGCCAGACATCGAAACATCAGTTTTGTTGGAGGAAAAATCGTAGATACCTTACAAAAAGAAATTAGGATCAGAAAATTGCCAAGCGATGCAGTGATGGAGAAAAATAGATTTATTACAACGAGAGCCGCAACCACCTCTACTTGTAGCAGGGAGGTTTCCAATGAAAAGTTTCCCTCCATAGCAGTTTTATTCGTCATTTTCCAAGAGCGGTGTTAAGCTGGTTTGAAGCAAAGAAGGCGCGTTTAAAGTCTTCCAAGCGTGACCGCCTCATCTGATTATACGAAATTAACAGCGGATCCTTTACACTGATCTTTTTCTTCGCCGCGTTAATGGATATTTTATTATGTCGAGTAAATCAGCGACGACGTATGAGTTTTTTTCTGATTGACTTTAAGAACTTTCAGCTTTTACTTCTGTAGGTTTGTCGGCGAAATTTCTTCTGTTCAATCAAGTGACAAATTGGCAAGTCACCTTGAAGTATGGTCAGTGATTAAAAGCATGCATTCAAGAGAGCAACGTCAAAAGAAAAAAGAAAAAAGAAAAATAACAAAACACTAAAAAGCCATCATTTTGATGTCAGCAAACGAACACGGTATTTCGTAAATTAAAGGTTTCCCTGAGGTAAAGATGTATACAGCTGTTTGTTGAAGTAGCAATCTTCGATCCTATTTTTGTTTTTTGTTTTTTGTTTTTTATCTTTTTATGTTTGACTTTGTCATGTTTTGTGGGTCTGTCATGCCTTCCCGAGAACCTATGATGTTGAGACGGTTTGTCCTCAGCAAACGTATGATTTCAAAATCCTTGGAACTTTGCATAACATTAATCCACATCTAGTTATTCTTTTCATTTCGGTCGATTTTTAAAACTACTTCTTAATTGAGTAGCAAACTGCAGAAGTGACCTTTTACGTCAGACGTTATTTTTTATATGCAGTCGTTAAATTAAGCCATTTTCGAAAAAGTCATGCACTTACCGTTCTTTAGAGCCATTTTTATCTAATTCTTACCTCTTCATTCGACAACTTTTCAAGGTTTCAAATGTTTAGGGAATATTTCGTTAATCAAATGTCTTCTTTTATTTTTTTTATGAGAAACAATTCCCAACTTATCAGTTCTTAGTGAAGGAAACCAACTCCAGCAAGCCACCATTATAATTTTGCATTTATTCTTTGGACATTTGCAATATTTATATGTTTTTTTTTTGTTGGAACGCAGTGAACATCTTCCTACATTTTAAGCTCCTCGGTACCAGGAGCAGGTTGTCGTTCAAAAAAATCAAGAGTTTCTTTATACATTTGACTTTAAAGTGCCTCAACGTTGTGTCGTTTTATATTCTTAAGACATGCTCCGAACCTAATTTGATCCTCATCCCTTGTGGGCAGATGGCTAAAAATCAACTTTTGTCCTTCACTGCTTGTTTCGCCTCTCTGATCTTCCAGCAATAAAGATTGGGCTCACAGAGAATTTAAATTACCAAGGTTTAAGAAAACTCGCAAAACAATTACAGAAGTATTCCCTGTAAATGTCAGGAGCTTCCTTTCAAATACGCGAAAGGGAAGATAGCGAGCAAATGATGCGAACAGTATCCATGTTTTAAGGGAAACTCTTAAGGCTGTTCTCTCTGTGGCCCTACAAACGCAATATTTGAAGGTAGAGACCAACATAAATCCTTGTATTAGAAAAGACGAGATAAACAGAGAGTATTACGAGGTAATATCAATATGAGAACAAGATATCTGAATGTCTATTTGAAATAAAGAAGGAACCAACGAATTGATGTTAAAAATTTAGGTGCTCAAGATAAATCCTCGAATCCGCCTTTATTTGACAGCGATCGGCAATTCGTTTGATGGCATGTTTTAATGAACATCACTTTAGTTGTCAAACAGCCTTCTAACTTTGACTGTGACACCGCTTTTTTTTATTAAACAGCACTTTGATTGTTAAAAAGCTATCTATCAAAATTTGCCAGAGGGTTCGATTTGGGTACAATTAGGCTTTCAAATATATGGCGGCTTTTTTGTTATTTCTGTCAAAATTTCGAAATGCACTGATGGAAAATCACCCTTACATATGTGCATGTGACGATTCCGATTCTTGCGTTTAATTTAGTAAGAGCAATTATGTAGGAAGCGTCACATGAAAAAAGCTTCTTCTTTGACTCTCCGTCTATTCATAACTTAAAAATCTTTTAACTCACCTGTCACTTACACATTACATACATGTAAAACGCCCCGAGTTACATGCAAACCTCAATGAAGCAGCTTAAGAAGGATCGCAATTCTCTTAAAGAAAGCTACCTGCCTAAAAAAAAAAGCTTATGTAATTGTCATGAAAACTGTTTCACACCTTTCTTGGTGAGCCCCTTTTTTTGCATTACTAAGCCGCTATCGAAAAATTATAACGATCGATCGAAAAATACCCTGAATATCGAATTTGAGTCAAGCTGTGTCGATTTGCATTTAGTACGTAAAATGTTATTAAAATGCAAATGAAAGAGCCTGTTTTGTTTTTTTGTTAGTTTGTTTGGAGACTTTTTGTATTTAATAATCATCATGTTGGATATTCTAATATTAATTTTTTGGTCCAGTTATACTTCTACAGTTGTCTTTATCCGTCGTTTATACGATATTAAAAACCCAAATTCCAAATTTTTTGAACGAAGATTTACACCCTGCACAACATTTTAAACACGTTCCACATTAAATTCTTTCCATTTGTTCGTTATTTCAGAATTTCGCTCTTTTTCATCCGCGCCATTATGTTTTAATTCTCCCATTTCAGTGAATGCTAAGGTGGAGGCTCGCTTAGTTGTTCAAGCCCTCCGTGTGAACACACTATCCAAGCTGACGTTCGCAGATTCCAAGAGGTTTGACTCCCTTGTTCGAGATATCTTCCCTGGTGTGGACTTCAAAGGCGTCGAGTATGCTGAATTGGCGGAGGCACTGAGAACCTCAGCTCAGGAATCCAACTTGATGGTCATGGAAACTCAGGTGATCATTGCCGAGAAGTACAGCTAACTATAAATAAAGGGTAATTTAGTATTATCAACTGAGTTGATAACATAAATTGGCCACCGTAAAGAGTTTCAAAGCTGACGTTTCGAGCGTTAGCCCTTCGTCAGATCAGCTTTTGAACTCTATATGGTATAGCCAATTTACGTTATCAACTCAGTTGATAATACTAAATACCCTGTTACACTCTCCCACCAACGCAGCACCACGGTTTCTTTAGAAATTTACCCCTTCATTAACCATAAATACACTGGGCATGAGTGTAGTTACCTTTTGAAACAAACCTACATTAGTCAGATATTACAAGATGATCATTTCAAACTAATAGTTGATGTGAGGGGTGTACCTTAACATTGAGTCGAATAATTTTCACTTGAGCGTCGAAAGTAATCTCAGATTGCATTAGTCTTCACATTTTTTTTTCCGCTCTGTGATTGGTCATGAAGACTCGCGCCATCCTCTCAACCAATCAGATACGAAACTGGAATCAATCGTGACTCGGTCACACTTGTTTTCCCGCGCTCCAGGCAGTTTGCGTGATTTTACTTTGTCGGAATTCTCGTTGTTTTTGTTCTGCTTGGCCGTTGTGCTTACTTTGGTTTTGGTACTACAATATGCTATGGCGAATTGCTAATAAGAATGCAACAGAGAGCTGGAATATCGCTATATCTCCAGGCGTTTCTTAACACTAGGTGGATATATTCATTTACCCAGGTGAAGAAAGCACTCGAGTTGTACGAGCAGCTTCGCCAGAGGATGGGTGTTGTGGTCATTGGTCCATCGGGCTCAGGAAAAAGCACCATCTGGAAGCTGCTACGCCTTGCCCTTGGCAAAGTGGGCCAGACAGTGAAGCACTACACCATGAACCCGAAGGCGATGCCGCGAACTCAGGTTGGTGTTATGTCAAAGCGTAACTTGCTTTCAAACAGCATCGTTGCACTCTTAGTCGTGGTTAACTAATCTTTGGTCCCCACTCTCCTTTTCCTACTTGTTCCCTTGCTTCCCCAATGCCTGGTACCCAATGCCTGATTAGGTAATCCCCGCTCTCCTTTACCTATTTGTTCCCTTGCTTCCCAACGCCTGGCATGAAGGCTATTCTTTAACTTTCACAAATCTGGTTGTTTTTATATAGGGAGGGAGATCTTGTTTAAGATTTAGATCTAGTACTTTGACGCTTTGTGTGTTTTGGTCTTTTTCAACGTCTGGAAACAGGTTTTTTTGAAAAACCCTTAACAATGCATTTGAATGCGCAGCCATAGGCCTGATCGTACAATATTCTAGATAGCTTGCTAATTTCGTCGTCATGCAAAAAAGCTAACGTAAACAAGTAAACTTTGAGGGTTAATTTGTTTACGTTTGTTGCTGCGTTTTTGATTTGGTACTGTATTCAAATAGACACTGCAGTTAAGACAAATGTTTGCTTATTGTCATTACCAGAAATTTGTATATCTCATTCCGCCAACAGCTTCTAGGACAGATTGACATGGACACTCGCGAGTGGTCGGACGGAGTTCTAACGAATGCTGCCCGGCAAGTCGTTCGTGAACCAATCGATATCCAGTCGTGGATCGTCTGTGATGGTGACATTGATCCGGAATGGATCGAATCGCTGAACTCAGTTCTGGATGACAACAGATTGCTGACAATGCCCTCCGGTGAAAGGATTCAGTTTGGTCCGAATGTGAACTTCCTTTTTGAGTCTCATGACCTGAGTTGTGCGTCACCTGCTACGATTTCGCGTATGGGGATGATATTTTTAAGGTAAAGCAGTTCGAGTGGGTATAGAACTGTCGCCCAGCTTTAGTGAATACCGTATAAGTTTAATGAGAAAACATTTTCATTTTCTCCTGATAGTGATGAAGACACCGACGTCAAAGCTCTGGTCAAATCTTGGCTCCAGAGCCAACCCGAGGAGGATCGTCGCATGTTGGAAGCGTTCTTAGAAGATCATTTTTACAAGGCATTGGACTGGGTGCTAAAACAGAACGAGTTTGTAGTGGAGACAAGCTTGGTTGGCGTGGTCATGAATGGCCTGTCCCACATGCATGGCGTCAAGGTCAAGTCAGAGTTCGCCTGCAGTTTGATCAGAGGATTGGGAGGCAACCTGTCTTCATCAGCCAAAACTGCATTCGCTAAGGAGGTGACTTACTGTGGTTTTTTTAAATGTCAGAGAGACTGTGGGAATGATTCTTGTCTGCTTTCCCTTACAACTTCTCTTGGGTCAAGTGAATGTGACCTCAATTATCTACAGGGCGAAGTCTTTAAGTTATGCATTATAGCTATAAACGAACAGATTAATGATTCAAGTCTCAAAAGTTCTTGGAGACCTGAAAACTGTTCGGTACCTTGATAATGCTTTTCTTAAGATATGTGTGCATAGGAAGCTTTGTGATCTCTGTTCTCTTGATGGTTAGTCCCTTTTGGAAACCAAAACCAGTGATAGATATGTTTTGGACATAGAGTCCGTTCTTGTTGATTGCTCGTAAAAGCTGTCTTCGTGTTGTTTAATGCCATAATACGTTTGTGTGGCTGAGGAATGAAATATTTTTTGACAGGTGTTTCATTGGACTCATGAGATGCCGCCGGATCAGAAGAGGCCGTTGGACACATATTATGATAACGACAGAGGAAGACTGGCTTCATATCAGTTGGAGGTGAGTTGGTACCAGTATTTACCTTGTCTCAGTGACAAAGAAGGAAATTGACAATGTTGTGGAGTAAAACGCTATGGTAAAGTCTCGTATTCGAAGCTTATAGTTCTGGGCTCAGTTTTTCAAATGGCGCATAGCGCTATCCAAGGGTTACATCGTTATCAGCGGATAAGAATTAATGAAACGTACTGCGCTATCCACCGGATAGAGATTTATATAATGAAAAGTGTTATCCATCCTTCCAACATCCGGGGCCTTCGCAAGCAATATGACGGCAATCTTCCAAGCGTTTTCCTTTGATATTTGGATCGGATAAATTCAACGATAGGACCAGCAATGTTGTGACCAATCGTTTTGTAGGAGCTTTTCTTCTCATTTTCTTTAATTATCTTTTTAAATTCGGTCGAGACATTCCGCACTAATCTGTTGATCTGTCTCCTTCCATACCAGGTCCCAGACTCGCTCAGTGTAAACGACCTAAATCAAAACTCAGGTCTTTTGCCAGTTATTCAGACCGCGGACATCAAGAGAGGTCTGGACATGTTTTCTCCCTGGCTTCATCCGGATCAAAAGAAGCCTTTCCTGTTGGTCGGTCCAGAAGGGTGTGGCAAGGAGTAAGTCTCTGTTCTTGTTGTTTTTGTGGCTGCTGCAAGTGTCCCTGCTTATTTGTGCCCAGATACAGAGGGGCACCAATTGGCGAGCACTAATTCAGCTCGCGTGGACGCTGTTTCGAAGACATATTCTAATGGCAAGATCATATATTATAAAACTTAATTCATGAAGCTTTCAAAATCTTTTAGGGCTATCTAACTTTGCGTAATTGTGCCCTGATGCGGAAGAGCACTAATTGGCGCGCACAAATTCAGCTCCTGTTTACGCTGTTTCGAAGAAACATGGGTTTCGAAGACCCATTCTAATCATATTCTATAAAATTTAATTCACTTTGCGTCTTTGGTTCGTTAATCTCTAGGCTTCTGTTGAGGCACTGTTTTGAGCAACTTCGCTCGACCCAAGTCGCTGTGGTGCACTGTAGTGCCCAGACCTCTCCCATGCATGTTCTTCAGAAGCTTCAGCAGTGCTGTATGGTGATTAGTTCCAACACTGGCCGAGTGTACAGGCCAAAGGACTGTGAAAGACTGGTACTCTACCTCAAGGACCTCAACCTGCCAAAACCGGACAAGTGGGGAACTAGTCAGCTCATTGCCTTTTTACAGCAGGTAAAAACGGTTTTGCCAACAGTCTAACAGTAATTTATGATGGAAGTGGAATTGATGTAGAATCCTATTCTAACTACATTTTGCAGCTTTCATGCAGGTTAAATTACTGTGCTTCAAATTAAAGCTAAACTTTGTAGCCCTCAACACTTCTTAAGCATACTACGCTTCTGCTACTACTGTGGTGTTAATTTTTGCTATGAACGCATTACAATTCATCTTTCTATAGGTCCTGACCTACAAGGGATTCTATGACTCGAATCTTGAATGGGTTGGTCTTGAAGGTGTTCAGATTGTGGCATCCATGAGCGCTGGGACTGGCATGGGGAGACACCAGCTGACAACCAGATTTACATCCATCGTCGGTGTATGTTCCATAGGGTAAGAGTTGTTAAATATTGTCTCTCCGGTCCGTGCGAGGACTAGATGTATGGTTAATGTTCCCTTGGAAAGTCACTCCGGTTGGAAGTTGCTTGGGTAAATAAGATAAAAAAATGAATTGAAATTTTAAGAAACAGGAAAATTCCTAGCCACTTTCTAATAATTTTTTTTCTAAATGGTATCGTCTCACTTTTTAAGTTATGTTCTTGTACAGCAATGAAATGGTTTAAGTGTTTTAGAAGGATGATATTGGGTCGCTTGTCAACATTACCCTTAGAAAACATAAGAATATCCTCAGACCTATCCTAAACCTACCATTATTCGAAGCTTTTTTTTTTTCTTACAGAGTTGAAACAATATGATTACCCTTTGAAAGCTTAAAATGTCTGAAACTCGAACAAACTTGTTGAGCAATTAAAGATGATGAATGTATCTGAGCTATAAACAGATCAAATAAAGCTTAGGGGTCATTCTAGTCTTTAAGAGAGGAGACAAAAACTTCGCTTCACTCCGTGTGGTTTCTATGTGTTATTTTGACAGGTTATGAGAAATGTTTTTAAGAATATTTGGCTTCCGCTATGTTAATCCCCTAATTACTCCTCTCTTCTGTAGCTATGCTGATCGAGATCAGCTGCAAGCAATCTACAGTGCATACCTTCAGCCCGTGTTAAGTTCATCCCTGAAGTCCCATCCAGTGTGGGGTGCGGTAAAAAATGTCCACACTTTGGCCGGCTCAATGGTTTCTGTGTACGAACAGGTCAGTGGCTAGCCTTAAAATAAAATCAAAAGAGGTAGGAAGGGATGATTCAAATGTTTTTGTCGGTTAGTTTTTAACTGAAACATATTTAGCTCTTGTTTACAGCTGGCAGAATCAAGGTTACTGTATAATCGAACGAAAAATTGATCGGCGACTGTGTACATTTATTTCATCGAAAAGGACGTTAGACAGATATTTGTTACTATCAAAATGAAAGCCAGACAGCCAGACAGAAGTTCAGTTGTTGTCGTTTCCCGTTCGCGTAAACGTAAAGTTGCTTCTTAGTTTCTCTGCTGTAAGAGGTTGAAATAGTGAAGACTGTGTCTCTCAAATAGGAAGGGAATTTAAAGATGAGTTTGTAAATGAACCTCAAATATTTTCTTTGTACATTGTTTTACGGATCACAAATTGGACACGAAAATTTTGGACAACTGTGTCAGGTTAAAAACTCTTAAAATAGAAATGCGTCTCCCTTGATTTTCTAGTGTAAGTTTAGGTCGTGACTTAGGTATTGCACGGAAAGTTTCAAGGTCGGGAAACAAATATATGTGAAATGTAAGTAATGGTTAAACCTCCCTTTGTTGTTTTGTTGTTTTCCTTAACCTTTAATTATTTACTTGATTTTCTCAGGTTCGCTCCAAGTTTACTGTCGACGACTTTTCTCACTACCTGTTCACCCCGCGTGATCTGACTAATTGGATCCAAGGTCTTTTGCGGTACAATCTGGACTCAGGATCTGGGGATAGCTCCACTCAGCATCTCTTGGAAATCTGGGCTTACGAGGCACGTCGTCTTTTCAGGGACAGACTTGTTGGAAAACAAGGCCTAGATAAATTCGACAGGTAAAATCAGTTTGGGAGGTATTAGTTTGATGATTTATTTCTTTATATATCCCAAAAAAGTTGCTTTATATATCCCAAATCGTAGCGAAGGGTTATCACAACAGGGATGGGGATAAGATGGGGCACTACAGGCTGGCAAAAAGGGAAACAGCACCGCAAGCGTTTTCCATCCTTCTGGTATATCTAAAGATTTCAAAACAATTTTATAAGAGCTTCATGTTAATGCGTGAATTGCGTTTTGCTAGACTTGATTACGGAACTCAATGACTCCGATCATTCCATTATCAATGAATTACTAATTAAAATAAACAAAGAGGGTCCAATGAAACTTTTTGACACAATTTGGGATTAATTTAGCATTCTAGCCTCCCAGCTGCGTGCTGATTGGTCTGTTACTCTTGATCGCCTTGACAACAAGTATTATGTCACGTGGGGTAGCAGTCTCACTTCTGCATCAGCACCCTCAAGTAATGCCGGGAAAGAGGGTGAAGCGCCTGTAGCCACGACGTCTGGGGGCTCACTTCCGCCTCAAGGAAAGATGCTCGGGAAACTGGATCCGAAGGACTTAGTGCAAGTAATCAGCAAAGGAATGAAGACCTATGGTATGTTCAGATGCATTGCAATCTTTATATCATCGTTGGTGTTGTTGGTTTTTAAACTCTGCAGCTATTTTAACTTTTCATTTACTGACGATTGTTAGAAATGAAAGAAGTCATCAAAATACTGCTTGATACGTTAGCTATCATCTGGGTTGTGTCAAACGTAAGTTGCACCACAGTCCTATCAATAAAAATCGCAACAAATGAATATTCTTCTCAATGGATTTTTAATCTTGATTGTATCCCGTGGAAGTCCTTGTTACTTTGGGTAATACACAAATTTTACTTTGGGTTTGTTCATGCAGCGCGTGAAAACCGTGAGCTAGACATCCTCATTTTCAAAGAAGTCCTGGAAAACATTGCCCGTGTCGATCGCACACTCACCAAACCTGGCGGCTCGCTTCTCATGGCTGGCCGAAGTGGTGTTGGAAGGAGAACAGCGGTTGCTCTGGTTGCTCACATGCACAACGTTCAACTATTTACACCCAAAGTATCCAGAGCTTATGGACTGAAACAGTTCAAGACTGACCTTAAGTCGGTAAGGAAGATCTTTGCCTGAGAGATGTTGTCCAGATCGAATTTTTTAAAAAGTCTCTCTATGATGAACAATGAACAAACAGAGAGAAAAATATAATCTTGTTGAGATAAAGTACAACAAAGTATGAAATTGGTATAGTCTGGAAAGGATCTCAAGTAATTGAAGACATCTGGAGATTTCCGATCACTTTTGACGGTCGCCTCGCACAGCCGAACACTTCTAATTTTTTTTGAAATGTTATTTTTATGCCAGCAGATATTTCCCAACACTTTCACCAAAAATTATTGATGAGCACTTGAATCGTAAAATATGTCAATTAAAGCCCCTATGCCGTTCATACTTGATGACCTTCTCCCATGAAATTTATTATAAGTGTCACTTTCATTATTAATTTTCTGAAAATAAAAGTAAAAAATGACCCATTTTCAATTGCAGGTCATGCAGCTGTCTGGTATCGACGGAGAACAAGTAGTTCTTCTCCTGGAAGATCATCAGGTCGACCCATCATATTTAGAGCTTATCAACAGTCTACTCAGTGCAGGTGAAGTTCCCGGTCTCTACACTCCTGAGGAGTTGGAACCCCTGTTGGGTCCCCTTCGGGATCTTGCGTCACAAGATGGTTTTCGTGGCACGCTTGTCTCGTACTTTGCTTCCCGTGTGCGAAGGAATTTGCACGTTGTGTTAATCATGGATTCGTCTTCCAAGAATTTCACGGCTAACTGCGAGTCCAATCCAGCGTTCTACAAGAACTGCTCGTTCCAGTGGATGGAACGTTGGAGTAAAGAGAGCATGGCACAAAGTAAGTGATTTTTTAAACAGATTTTAAATGTCCCCTTTCTCAGGTGTATTCTGTGGCCCCTCACTGAAAAATCTAGCCTGATATACAGTCTGAAATTATACCAGTTACAATTTTTATCCTAGTCTTACGACTTACAGGAAAGGTTTTTGCACTTGCCCAATGAGTTATGAAGTGGAAGATAGCTGATATTGACTTTCCTTGTCGTCGATACAAATTTTTATATATTTGTTCAGTGGTACCTTATTTTATCTGTGTGTCCTTGGCGCATATCGCCCCTTTTTGGTGGTATGTTCTAATCTGTAACGACAATGACGCCTCTGCCGATTATTTCAGAAATAACGAAGAAACCAAGAACAAAATATTGTAGGTGTCCTTTTTCTGTTCCCTTCATCCTTTCATGGTGCAAGATGAACCAAAATACAGCAGCACCCTAATCGTGGCTGACAAATCTTTTATATTTTACTTTATTAGTACCCGGGATGCTTCTCTCTGATGAAGGGCTACGCAGTGATGAAGGTACTAAGGGTAAAGATGGCAAGTCTGGTGTTGAGGAGCTGGTGAAGAACTTCCTTCAAATTCACGAGTCGTGCAGTGATAAAGACGCGGCCCCAAGACGCTACATGACTTTCCTGAAGACTTACAAACGAGTTTATAACGAGAAGAAGGATGGAGTGGTGAAACGACAGCAGCATTTACAGGTATGATGGTATTTGGTTGGCTTTGTAAATTTAGCCTTAAGTTCTTCATTTGGAATCTGCAATAATCTCTGCCGTCTCTTTCCTGATAGACTGTAATTTAAAGTGTTAATTATATTTCTATAAAGTGTTTCTAGTATCGGCGGATCATTCTACGTTAAGTTTCATTAATCAAGTGAGGGGAAGATCGAAACAATGCGGCTCACTTAAATGCACTATTTTCTTTACGATGAAATACTGACTGAAGCACGCTCGTGGAAGATCAAAGCTTATGAAGACTTTATCAAACAGTGTAGTGTTTTTTTTCGTACTTATAGGCTGGTGTGTCAAAGCTGACCGATGCTAAGGCGCTGGTGGATGATCTGAAACAGAAGGCAGGAGAACAGAGCCGACAGTTGGCTGACAAACAGGAAGAGGCTGATGCAGCGCTCAGGGAAATAACCGCCAGCATGCAGGTAAATATAGACATGAGTTTGAATGAAGAAATGTAAAGCAAGTTTTTTCTGTTAATAGTCAGCCATTTGTGACAATAGCGTAATGGATATTTGCAAACTTAAGATCTATGATACGTCTCCTCTTACCAAAATTTAAAAATTTGCTTTTTATTATCCTCTCAACAAAGCGTGCTAGCGAGTCCAAAAGTGAGATGGAGACGCTCAAACAAAAACAAGGGGAAGAGTCTCTTAAGCTGGAGAAAAGAAAGAAGGCCATCGAAATTGAGTTGTCAGAGATTGAACCGCTCGTCCAAGAAGCAAAGGATGCTGTTGGTGACATTAAACCTGAGTCACTCTCTGAGATACGCTCCTTACGCATGCCTCCAGATGTCATCCGGGACATCCTAGAGGCTGTGCAAAGACTGATGGGAATTTTTGATACATCCTGGGTCAGCATGAAAAGGTAAGATTAAGATTGAGATGTTAGAAGGATCTTCAATTTGTCTGTGCGTTTTGTTGTTGTTGTTGTTCCCACTATTTCTAGTGGTCGCTTATTCCGCCAAGTCTTAGATTGGAGTGACTTGACCGAATCAACAAGCGTAAGCTTCCGCATACTCCATACTTGTGTCGAAAATTTCCATGTTTCACATAGGTAACCCCGCCTGATAATACTTTAGCGCGACTTAAATACCATTAAAGCAAGAAGTGTAAATTTGTTTTTCTACAGTTTCCTGGCCAAGCGTGGTGTTAAGGATGAAATCTGTTCGTTTGATGCTCGAAAAATCACTCCTGACATCAGAGCAAGTGTGGAAGAACTCCTGGAGAAAAATGCCAACTCATTTGATCCGAAGGTGAGAAAAAATATATTTACTGTGAAATTACAAAAGTATTGACAATTTTTACTCCTGCTACGCTGTAGAGAGTTAGTTATGCACCTCTCTGAACTTCACTGCTGTTAACTAGCCCAAGCGGGACTTTGTGTTTGCAGGGATGCGAAGTTTTGAATTTGAGAAGTTGGCAATTTTGGAGGTATTTAGACTGACAATACAGAGAGAGGATTATCCTCAAACTTGAGCATAAGAATATTTTACAGTAAACTTTTTAAATTCTTCATCCTTCAGATTGCAAAGAGAGCCAGTGTGGCAGCTGCTCCATTGGCTGCCTGGGTGGTAGCTAACGTGAAGTTCTCTGTGGTCCTGGAGAAGATTGAACCGCTAGAAAACGAGCAGGCGCAACTGGAGAAGTATGTTATTGATATTTCACGTGGACTTTTATCAAAACATGGGCCTTGAAATGTAGATGGTACTGATCTCTGTTTTGAATGGGGAACCAAAATGTGTTTCACTCACTCTTTTTACTGACAACTGTTTAGGGACAGTAGCTCAAGTATTTTCTCGTCGATTTTATCATTCACATCGTATTCTGACTTAGTTAAATTGTAGACACCTCTGTGGAATTCGCGTTGTCATTGTTCTATCTTTTTTGATAGAAATCTCGCCAAATCTCAACAAAGGCTGGTGAAGCTTGGCAATGCCTTGGACAAAGTAGATAGAGAAGTTGCCGAAATGCGTAAAAGGTGCTGTATGCCAAACTATATAACACCAAATCATCTTGTAAAACATAATACTAACGCAGCACCACAGTTTCTCGCGAAACGTACACCTTTACTCAGTGGTCCGCAGCATCACAGTTTATCCAGAAACTTACACCCTTTATTAAGTGGTCTGCAGCATCACAGTTTATCCAGAAACTTACACTATTTATTAAGTGGTCCGCAGCACCACAGTTTCTCCAAAAGCTTACACCTTTATACCGTAGTCTGCAGCACTACAGTTTCTCCAGAAATTTACATCTTTTATTTGGTGGTGTGCACCTCCAAAGTTTATTCAGAAACTTATACCCTTTATTCATTGGTCCGACTTACTTTCAACATTCAGTTGATGTAGCACTGTAATTATAATTGATCAGGTTCGAGCTGAGGACTCAGGAAGCAACGCAGCTGAAGATGGAGCTTGACAAAGCGCAGGAGACAATTCAAGCTGCTGAGACACTTGTTTCTAAACTGGATGGTGAATTCAAAAGATGGTCAGGACAGGTACAGGCACACAAACACTCTGGAATTATTCGAAGGAACACATCCATTTTGACAATTTTTGCCTAAGAGCTCGTGCAACGAAATTGTTCATTAATTTTGCTTAATTTTCTTGCATTTGCGAAATAGTATATAAGGGGAAAATAGAACGAATACTCGAATCCTTCAATGCAAATATTCCCTTTATTGGTGGAAAAATCGTTAAACCATTTGTCCTTTTCCTTGATTTTCGCCGCTAGGTCTTGATAGTGAGTTTGAGCTCGGTGCAAAAAAGCCTTAAATCAATCCCATAGAAAAAGAGGAAAAAATAACTCTTCTTGAAAGATTAAAACTATCAGTTTAGTCTGACAACGGCGAAAGACAACCGGGAAAGGGTCGACCTCCGTGTAAACGGCACTTGTTTCCATCCTAAATAGTGCACGTTCTAACATCACTGGATCCGTTTTCCGCTCCTGTCGTCGGGTTTCCTGTAAAGCGTTTCATGCCACGCCGTTACGTACGGAAACGTACGAAGAGAAATTCAATGCAAACCTACGAGATAAACTATGATGCACACCTTGTTTCTAAGGTCCACGAGCTCACCGCTGAACTGGAACAACTTCCAAGGCGGGCTCAGCTGGCTGCTGGATTCATCACTTACCTGAGCAGTGCCCCAGAAGACGTGAGGAAGGCCACCATGTCTAAATGGTGCGAGGCAGCAGGACTCCAGGGATTTGACTTCAGAAGGTTCATGAGTACTGAGAGTGAGCAGCTTGGATGGAAAGCTGAGGGGCTGCCATCTGATGACCTCTCCATGGAGAACGCACTTGTTATCTTGAAGGTCAGTTGATAAGCACCTATCCATCTTCTTGACTACGAGATAAAGTTTGTTATTAGGATTCAATAACACGTGTTCGGATTGGTGCACTCGGTAAGTAGGGTGACATGACTTCGTTTGGTCGATTTTACGGCAATCACGATTGTAGAACACGAGCTGTGACTGGATGACGTTGTTAAGATGCTTAAATGATACGCCATGGTTTGATAAATTCACAGTTTTGATTCTTTAACAGCGTCTCTGATAGGCTGAAATCGAGTCGAGTCTCGAAGGAGTCCTTATGTCTATGTCTCTATATAGTTATTTGTCGTTTTATTTATTTATGAAATCATCTTTTTTTTGACAGAGTACCATGAGACCGTTCCTGGTGGATCCATCATGCCGCGCAACAGAGTGGCTCAAAACAAATCTGAAGGAGCAGAGACTGGAAGTCATCAACCAACAGGTACAGACCTGCTAAGTCTGTCGTTCTTTCTCTGATAAGATTTAATTTTTGTTTTGGTTCTTATTGTTTTTTCCGTTTTCGCTGTAATACGATGCATTACTGATTTGTATACTTTGTTTCGTACCTTGTCAGGACTCGAATTTCTCCACTGCCTTGGAACTGGCTGTACGGTTTGGTAAGACGCTTGTCATTCAGGAAATGGATGGCGTGGAACCTGTCTTGTACCCAATCCTACGCGGAGACTTCATCAGCCAAGGTGAGATTAAGTTATACATTTCTACTTCAGCTTAAATAAAAAAAATCAACCCTTGTTTTGTGTTCTACTTACCTCGCTTTCTTACAAACTAATCTGGCATACTTTTGCATTCTTTTAATCAGGTCCGCGATATGTTGTTCAAATTGGTGAAAAAGTTATTGACTATAACGAGGACTTCAAGTAAGTATAATTGTTTGTGACCAAATATGTTTCCGTTATTTATTTATTTATTTTTTAATTAAAACTACAGTTTAGAAACCAGAAAATTAACGCTATGACAGATTATATTTGTGGACGTTGAAGAGTAGCGGCACGTAAACTGTAAGGAAACGAATGAGAAAGCTGCAAAATTTCACGTTTTCTGTGAATATAACGATCTGGGACGATCTGGAAAGAGAGGATTCTATGCCCTGTCTGAGATTTTGCATTCGTTTTTGAGACCCTTGTGTGAGAAGTCTTACTAGAAGTGACCCCTGTTTGAATTTTCAGACTGTTTATGACCACAAGGAATCCTAACCCTGAGCTTCCCCCGGACGGGTCTGCTATCATCTCTGAAGTGAATTTCACCACCACACGGGCTGGATTGACAGGACAGGTACTGAAATAAAAATTGAATAAAACTCTAGGTATTCTTTTAAGGCCACTTCCTAAATCATGTCAAAAGTGGAAACTCTTCTGGTACAAAACAAATGATTAATTAATCTCTGTATTTTGGAGCTGAGTGCTAGGATATCCAAATTGACGGTTCTAGAAGGTTTCTTCGTAGAGAAAAGGGACATTATATTTTATTGTAAAAATTTACCTATCTCCTATCTATAAAATACCAACGAGGCATGGTGAAGAAAAAGTTGGAACGTCAGAGATCAGAGATTTGCATCTATGGGAAACTAATAATATATTGATAGTCTTCTCTTTTGTTTCAAAAAGAAGGGAAGGGTAACATAATGCAACACATCTTAAGCATTTGCATCATTTTTAGCCATCTTCATACTCACTCATTTTAACGTGATTACCATTTCCACTTTGCCATTATCAAAGTTGCTGGGAATAACCATCCAACACGAGAAGCCACAACTTGAAGTACAGAAGACTGAACTGCTGCGGAAAGAAGAAGAACTGAAAGTGCAGTTAGCCGAGCTGGAGGAATCGTTACTAGAGGTACGCAAAAATACAGCACAACCAAGAGGAGATCAACTTGAATCAATTCTAGTTCCAGTAAATCGAGGTTTATCGTAGAAAAAAGTGTGGATAAAAAATAAACGGTGATAAAGTAATTTCAGTTTTAACAGTCCGCCTATATCCCAATATTAGCCAATATCCCCCCCCTTTCAGTAAATTATTGCCTAATATTCCATTTCTTATGGCAGACATTGGCCAGCGCCGAAGGTAACATCTTGGAGAACAAAGTTTTGTTGGAGTCATTGAACAAAACCAAGGCGAGCTCCATGACTATTGCAGAGTCACTCCAAGATGCACACAGAATACAGACTACGCTGGATCAGGTGAGTCGCAGCTTGACGTTTGCAAAATTAATTTATTTACTGCAGACTTTGTTTCAAGATCATGATACGTATTAAAGCAAAGCAGGGAAAGTTTTGCAGAACTATCTCGCGAAAAAAGACACTTGTCAGTCTGAACAGGTGACTCGAAGTTAAAAAACTCAGATTCCATTCTTTTACCGTAGGCGCCCTTAATATGGTAGTCTTTCAAATTCTGTAAACCCAGTAACAAATTTCAGATTGTCTCCGATTTATATCGTTTTCAATTCTTCCTGTTTGAACATATTAGGATCAATTTTATTAATGACTGACGCCATCGTCTGTTACCTTGTATGGTAGTTTCATTCACGTGCTTTGTTTCCTTTTTTATATGACAGGAGCGTGACGCATACTTACCTCTAGCTGAGAGTGGCAGTACCCTGTTCTTTGTCATCAGCGACCTGGCCAAGCTGAACAACATGTATCGCTTTAGTCTGAGTGCTTTCCTGAGGCTTTTCCAACGATCGCTGGAAACAAAACAGGTAAAAGACCAAGTACGGTTTGTTTTTCCGTCGATGATGTACAGCCGTGGCAAGGAAATCTTAACGAAATCATTGTTAAATATTCAGTTGGGTGACATCACCAAGGTACATTGCGTTTCACAGAGAATCTTAAATCTTAAGGTTTTTCAAGCGAGTAAAAGTAATTCACAATTTTTCGCAGCAGGCGCACCCCTTAATGATGCATTTTAAGGTTCACCGTCCCTTCAACGGAGCAGTTTCAGCCAAGTTCATGACCTTAACAAAGTAAAGCCTTTGACACAAGTTTCATTTTAACATTTTGGATAATATTGTTTTTCCTGTTAGGAATCTAGTAGCACAGAACAAAGGATTAAATCACTACGAAGTTCCCTGCAGTCACTGGTCTACGAATATGTTTGTAGGTCTCTTTTCAAGGTAAGGTGACAACAAGATGCGACCTTTCCAGTCTCTTTCACAACAATTCACTCGTGACTTTCGCCTTTAAAAATTGAGAAATTGAGTCTTGTTTGTTCCTATTCAGGCCGACAGGTTGATGTTTGCCTTACATTTAGTACACGGAATGCATCCAGAGCTGTTTGAGGCACAGGTAATCAACTGCTGCACGACGATATATTTTGCTCTTTATTTTGATGGTCAAGTTTCAAATTTTGTTATTAGTTTATGGTTATCCATGAACTCTTTGTTTGTTAATATTCAGCATCACGTATAAGTCTCATTTTAGAGTAGATTTTGACACCGTTTTGACTTCCTTGGTGCATTAGAAACTGCTTTTCGCTCTTTACCTGGGGGGCGGGAGGATTTAGCGTTGTCAGCTACGTTAAAATCTCGTAAAAGGGAAGTATCGCTTTAGGTGGTATCTCGGCTTGGCGCAGCCACTGTGTAGAGCAGATGCAATCAAACAGTTATCATTGGTCTCGTTATGATGCTGCACTAATGACCAATGAGTCCTTCTGCCTTTTACTATTTTCCTCTTTACAAGGGTTATCTCAGTCTTTGTCCAATGAACTAAATTGTTTTATTCTCTAATCAGGAATGGGAATATTTCACTGGTTTGCTGGTTTCAGATAGCGTGTTTAAAAGACAGGTAGGCTTAAAAACTCTGTGGTAAAAAAGGAAAAAAAAAAATATATATATATATATATATCTTTATTTATATATTGTCATGAGGTGTAGAGATTTCAATCAATATGTAAGAGTGATCTATAATGAAAAAGAAAGGAAAACAACAAAATCGCCCGAGAATGTCCTGATGCTTTTCGGTTTGTTATCACATATACTGAGTTGCCTTTGCGGAAATCTGAAGGCTTTTTCGCTCGATCGCTTACTTGTTTGAGCGTGGAACGTGTTGGCCGTTACAGTGTTTAAAGGTGCCAAACTAAAAGCGTTTGCATTTCGTCCATGAAAAAATTTACAGCGAAATTAAACAGAAGATGGAAAGAAACTCCGAGAAAGGTCTCTACTGAATTTTCCGGCGAAATTTTGTTCACTGTCACTTAAAATCTTATTTTGCAGGACTATTGTACCTTCACCCCAACGATCACACCACAAATCTTTTCCAAATCTGTAAACAAACTTTTTTTATCGTGTCGAATGGTAGAAATTGTCAACAGTACCTTTCTTTTTATCTTTCGCAACAAGTATTTTTGCTCTGAATTGTTTCGTTCTAAATTTTTTTACCGCAGGAATCCATGAAGAACCTCCGAGACAGTCTTCCGTCATGGATCGATTCTGATCGTGCTGCTGCTGTAGGATCACTCAAGGTTCGCTTTAAATTTAGGATACAAAGTTACATGTTAATTGCACTTTTCCCTCGTGGCAATCTTTAAGAGATGCCAAAAACATTGACGCGTGGTTTACCCATAAACCAAGTCTAGAGATTTTCATTTGAGTAACGCAAAATCAAAATAGCCAATACACCCAATACGAAATCTAAAGAGCCAATGGGAATTCAAAGTAAAAACATAGTGAAGAACTTGAAGAGTTGGAAATCGCGCCAGACTGAGATGAGACCGGCTTGACCCTTGCATCTGATTGGTGAAAACAGTGGCGCGAGTTCAATAGACAGATAAAAAAAACTAGCTGAGACAAAATGGCTACGGTAAACCAAGATTGATTTCCACATGAGATGAAAGCTACTCTATACCAAATATTCACAAAACACCCGGCAATCGCATGATATCAACGGAGCTGTCAATCTCCCAAGATCAATCCCACACCATAGAGACAAGAAACCATCGTCTGATCATAGCGGACAAGGTCTTTGGATTTATGCTTTGTTTCAACATACATTCATGGGTAAAGGTACAAATTTAAGCCATGTTTTTGTTTGTTTTCGTAGAACACCTTTCCAAACTTGTGTAAGACTCTTCAGCTGGACAGCTCAGACTTGTGGATGCCGTTTCAGCGTAGTTCCCAGTGTGAGCAAGACATCCCTCCCGCTGTGGCCAAGAAGATCAGCCTCTTTCAGCAGGTTAGAACACTCGCAAAGCGTTTGAAGATAACTCTTCTGTTTGATCTCTTTCCATGCATGTTTGGAGATGATATGACGGCCTGATAGAAGCCTGAATTCTGTTCTTGTGAATGAACTTGTGTGAAAATACTTTCCAATGGGTGCGTGGGCAAACGATATCCTCGGACCTGTAGCTTCATTACCATTTCCGTTTTCTGTTGCCATGCGACATAAAAAGACAAAAAGCATCGAAACCCTACCGCTTTTTCGTATATTTCTTCGGTGTGTGCTCTGCTTCTTTCACATACTATTTCAGCCTTAACAGAAATTCAACTGAAATTCGTTTCACGGATGATCGTTTGTGATTTTCTGTGTTATATACAGGTGTTGATTGTCCAAGCTTTCAGACCGGACCGTTTGCAGAGCGCGATGAGTCTTTTTGCTTCAAAGGCACTGGGTAAGATTATATTTATGAAAACACTTCAGAAACATGTTCCGTAGACCTTTCAACCACCCTTCCAGGTGTTCTTCCTTTGAGAGATTCCCAAACTTTTGTTGTATAGAAATTTCCAGGTTGGTCGCGCTTATGAATATATCATTGTCTTACTGCCCGAGTTCTGTCAACCAACATAGAGAGTATGATCATTGAAGGGGAGCCCGTGATCTCGACCCAGATAAGCTGCCTTTTAAAGATTCTGAAACTAGGAAAAACCGCGAAAACATAATCGCTGACGTTTTACTGTATGAAAGAGTGAAGTTAGAAATGACATTTTATTTATGGGTCATAATATATCGTCTCCTCTCATCCATAGGAATGAAAGAGCTGTCCCCTCCAGCCCTGAACCTCAAAAGGCTTGTAAAGGAAACAGTTCCAGGAGAACCGATCTTGATTGTGATCTCGCCTGGAGCAGACCCCTCTCAGGTAAGTTTACACTTTGGCAACCAGCTTGTTCTTATAAAGACACTGTGTTATGCGTTGAAAAAAAGGTGATCATTGTTGATGCAGGAGAAAAACACTGTTAGTTGTTGCCACAATTTTTTTTTTCGCTTTTTGTAACTACATTTACAAAGCTTAAAAACTTGTTCTATTGCGAACTTTAATGGCTTGATTTTGTGAGCGAGGGAGTCGTAGTTGGATTCCTTGAGCACCCACGATCAAGGCAGAGGTAGAGACGGAATGGGATTTGTCAAATGTCAGAAATGTCCAATTTATTCCAATTCCGTGCTCATTATCAGCTGAAAACTGTTTTGTCGGAGTCTTATGGAGACCTTAGAGGGAGGAACAAACCAATTGCTAGTTCTCAGGCCCACCGTGTAAAATCAGATGCGTACGACTCCGGAATCTAATTTTTTCTAGATCTTAGGCGACGAAGTCATTCTGAGCGGCATGGGAATTTCGGCTTCCTATCCGTTAGTTTCATTTTTTACCTATGAGATCATATTGTTTTACGGTTCTGATTCAGATATCGACTTAGTCCTTAGTATAAACCAGGCATAGTAGTAGTCTGTTTGGATGAAGCCCTCTTTTTTTTTAGGAATTACAAGATACGGCTGCTGACGTCATTGGAGTGGACAAATACCATCAGGTGTGTTTTCTGAAACAAAGCGGAAATGTTCTATAGTCACTGGTTATATTTTGCTTCTTACTGCTAGAAAAATGTCGTGGCGTTCACAAGAATTCACACCACATCGGATGTGTCGATTTTTAGTTCCGCGCGTTTTACACGGAAAGAAATATTAGCTATCAAAACTGCAAAATTTCATACTAGCAAAAGTGGTTATCAGTCCACGAGTTCGTTGGTGAATTGATAGTTGTTGTCATTGTATTGCGTGTTAATTGTTTTGTATTTAATTTAGATTTATTCATGTGTTCAACCCTTAATTCAACTTCCTTGCTTATGTTTTTACGTTTGAATTTTGCAGGTGGCCATGGGTCAGGGCCAAGCGGACATTGCCCTTCAGCTTCTTCATGACTGTGGCAGGAATGGGGAGTGGCTGTGCTTGAAGAACCTCCACCTTGTTACCTCTTGGCTTCCGGTCCTGGAGAAAGTGAGCGCCTTTTCATTTAAACCTAGTCGGCATTAATAGCGACAGTAACAACAAAGTATGGCAGAAAATAGGTGTTTGGTGGAAATTGTGATCTTCCAAAGAGTGCCCTATGACTGTTTTATTTTTCAAGTGCAATTTACTGTTCTTTTCTATTGTTTGTCATAATTGTAATTTTGTTTGCTTGTTTTGTTTTTTTTTTGGCGCTGGTTTTTTTTTGTTTTTGTTTTTATTTATTTCCGTTAATTATTATACGACGATAAAGACATGCTCTACTGAGGCTCACGCTAAAAACTTGCGCGCATAAAAAGAAAGCCCCAGGATGATTTATCAAGATTACTATAATAAAAATTTGTTCACCTGTGGTATGATTGGCATTCTGGATTTCATTCGGCTTTACGGGTAACGCTCATTTACTTATTTCTTTTTCGATGCTTTTGTTGTCTGCAAGCAAGTAGTTGATGTTACGCTGGCCAAGACTGATTGTAGCTTGTGAATTTTGCAGGAATTGAATTCCCTGGAGCCTCATGAAAACTTTCGTCTGTGGCTAACAGCTGAGACGCATCCGAAGTTTCCTACAATCCTTCTGCAAACTAGTCTTAAAGTCACTTACGAGGTTCGTGATTTGTTACTTGCGCTTTTCCATTTAGAGTCAAATTACGAAGGCAATGTGAAACTTTACATAAAAAGCTGGAAACAGCTTGGGATTAATGTGAGAATTTGGTCATTTGCGAGTACGGGTTCGGTGCATTTATTGACAGAAAAGACATCTGCAAAACAGTGCTATTCACTTGTGGTAAAAATCTGTTTTTGCCCTCCTTTTTAACTTTCAATTCTTTGAGTAACTTATTAGGTTTAAAACTTTTCCTCGCAGGCTCCACCAGGAATTAAGAAAAATCTTCAACGAACCTACGACTCGTGGAGTCCGCAGTTTATCAGCCGTGGCAACTCTTCCATCAGAGCGCAGGCGCTGTTTGTGCTGGCTTGGTTTCATGCTATAGTGCAAGAAAGAAGAAACTACATTCCACAGGTTTGTAAAATGTTTCTATTATCACTCGAGCCTTCGCGGCGAAAAGATCAGTGGCTGTTAAAGACATCTAATTCTTTGAGTTAGGTTAAACACCTGTCACAAACAATAAACGCTGTTCGAGTTTCACTTGAGTCCCAAATGTTGCCTTAATTTTTCAGGGTTGGACAAAGTTTTATGAGTTCGCTTTTGGTGACTTGCGCGCGGGAGCTGATATCATCGACAGACTTTGCACAGCTGCCGGTAAGTAAATATAAATTTTGCAACATCCTTAATCAAAAATCATGCGAAACAAAAGCAAAACAAAACAAACAAGTAGCATTTAAACAAACAGAGAAGCAGTTCTGCTGTCAGAATATATCGGAATAAGTGAACCGGATCACGACGTGGACGTCTAAGAAAACAATTCCCGTTTTATAAAAGGCTAAAAATAACTTTGGTGGAATCTACATATCTCAACCAACACCCTGATTTCCCTTCTCTGTCGCATGTTCACATCAGAAGTGCGTCCGTTTTTTTCGTCTTCTCCCAGAATCCCGGTTAAGTTTTTATGATGGTAATGATCTATTTGCGTAAACGAACAATTCCTTCCTTTGTGGTAACACTTTTTTAACTGTTACTGCTACGTGTGTGGTCAGTACGGTTGTCGACAGTGTTTCTTGGTAGTCGAAAACAGCCACTGAAAACCGCCTGAAATGCTCTTCTGTAAGTTGGAATTCTCCACGCGTAGACGAAGGGGTTCAGACAGCAGTTTACTAGGATAACTTTGTTTGTTGTATACAAAAAAAATCGAAAAGTATCTATATATTGGTATTTTGGGTGAAAAATAAATATATTTTGAGCAATAAACTGTGGGGCGAAAGATGCGTAAAACAAGATAAGAACTAAGAGAAATGCGGACACCATTTTGCATTCCCTGTTCCTGTGGGCCATGCCCATGTGCTGTCTTCGCTCGTTATCAGCTACATCTTGCACCTGATTATTGTGTAGGCGAAGCGCGCGGAATGTTTTCCAGTATACCATAGGCAAGATGATCAGGGGAACTGAAACATGAAGATGGCAGTACAAGAGAACGAATGTCGATGTCGCTACCCCCATCAACGGAAGACAGGCGAATAACAGGGAATAAATCCAGATGAACGCCATTGCTACTTTTATCTTTGTTTTTGTTACCAAGACTTTGTAGTGAAGAGGAGACGAAACCATGAACAAACGGTCAAAAGACATCGCAGTAATCGTGCCAGAAGAAACGATATTAGTCACAACAGCGGAAATAGTTAAGAAACGCTGGATACCTACAAGATTTGCTCTTCTCTGGCCTCTTAAAATAGAGATGTCATAATAAAGGCTCCCGTATCCAGGCACAAGACCAGCCAGTAGGTCGCACATGCCTAGGTTGACCACCAAGAGAGTTGCAGGCGTTTGCCAAATCCTCTGACTCGCGTTTGTACTTCGAGAGATGGTGATCAGTAACAAGACATTTGAGAGGACGGCTGGTGTGGCCAACATGATGCTTAGAATAGTTTGTGAGAAGAAGAAATGGTCGTCATCTGATGCTGCCTTCGAGTTGGACATCTTTAAAATATGAACTAAACTTGAATTTTCTTTTTTACTTACGTAGCGGAAACGAATAAATAAGAACCGAAACACTTTAGTGACGTTGGTCATAAATTATAAAGCCTATTTCAGCTGTGATAATAAAGATATTATCAACACCACTTATTCGTGTGGGCAAAACTAAAACGGTGTTCGTGACTTAATTATCGTTTGTCACCTTAAAGAGGCGTGCTAAAACAATTCATGAATATTTTGGCAATTTTGTTACTTTTTTTTTAATAAGAGGTAAAAACGAGGTATGGCAAAAAATGCTCATCTCGAGTTCTGACATTACGTAAATGTATCAGGGACAATGTTTACAAATACCTAGTCTCGTAAGGGATTGCAGTAGAAGTTTCCTTAAGACTAAGGCTGTGAAAACAAACATTTGCAGATACCGTAAAGAAAAAACAGCGATTTTCCACACTTTGTTTACAGTCAAAGTAAGATAACGACGTTGACTGACAACTCTGAGAAAAAAGAAAAAAGACAAAAGACAGCTGAGAAAACAAGACATTTCAGTTGCAGTTGCAGTAGAGATGAGGAAGGCGTCTTTCACGCATCTTTCACATATCTGATAACGCTCTTTTCTCTCCTGTCTCTTGATGACGTAAAGACGTAAAGAAAGAACACAGATTCGATTAAAAATTTAATTAAATGGAAGAAAGTAAAATAGGATAGGATAAAACAAGTGACTTTATTTTAGAAACTGGAATCTCGAGACCGCGTCCGGTTGGTGTTTCTGTGCAAGGTTAAGGTCGTCTGTGATTTTGATCGCATAGCTTTTTTAGTTTCATTTTGAACCTTTGGTAGAATTATACGATTTGATACACGAGTAGAGAAGTAGAATAAAATAATATAGAAACAGATCTCGGAAGCTGAGAAACTTAGATTTTAAAATCATCCTGCAGCATACCACGTGATAACACCTCATACGTGCGCTTATTGTTGATGGTATCTTTTTTTTCATTTAAATAAACAGTCGTTCCCGACGATTGGCTGAATTTTTTACATTTCTTGTTTGTTTTTTAGGTTCAGGGTCTGTTCGATGGAAGTTTGTTCACGGTTTATTTGAAAATGCCATTTACGGGGGTCGCGTTGACAACACGTTTGACGCCAAGGTTCTTCAATCTTATCTGCTGCAGTATTTTGAACAAGCTGTCTTTCCAGGCCAGGTGAGATGACTGCCACAAAATACTTTCCTTGAAATCAAACTTGTTAGTAGGTACTACTGTGCCCTGCAATCTTTGCGCGGTCAGAATGGACGATTAATTGCAGGGTTTAGGAAAGTACCTCGGTGAAGAATAATCCGCGAACGGCTTCCCCTTTTTGTAGCGCAGTGTATGTAGATTCAATGAATTACAAGAAAAGCTTCTGAGCTCTACGGTTACGTTGTCGGCGAACGACAAAATCAATTCAGATTTTGTCCACTCCTTCTCTAATCCTGAAGATTAAATCCTTCAGGAAAAGAGGGCAAGATGTAGCATTAAGAGTAAATGAAGTTTTTTTTTTCAGTAAGAGCAAATGGCTAAATTGTGCGGCATTTTCATCTGCTATTTTCCGTAAAATTCATGGATATACTGATTGGAACTTGTGATAGACTAGTATTCCATCCGAGGAGAGTCACGATTCTCCCACTTTCTTCTTGCTGATGGAAAACGATATAAGGTGTTTATGACACTCATAAAACTTTTTGCTATTTTTTTAGGGAGGAAGCCGATCCAAAGCTAAGAAAGTGATTCCAAATGTGACTCTGCCGACATCTTGTCATCACAGGGTGAGAAGTTTATTTGTTTTGGTACTATCCACCGGTACAAGTTGTAATGATTTGTGAAGAAGATTGATGGTAGTTCACTTTCCACAACTGTGACCGACTGGATAAAGATTTGAAAGTGGTTTGTATGTTTTTTAGGATTATTTGGAGATTATTAACTCGCTTCCCGACGATGATAAGCCGTCCTTCTTTGGACTACCAGCAAACATCGAGCGATCTTCGCAGAGAATCATCAGCTCTCAGGTAAGGCACACAGTTAGCTTGGGTCTTTCTTTGTAAGTTGGTCGCATCTTTTACGTTACCTTTATTATCAAATAACCGTTTCAGCTGGGTGAGAACATGGTGAGAACGCTGGAATCAAGAGTTCAGTACCTGTCGTATTTCTGTCTTCAGCTTGAAAAAACAGGGTAGCTTTTGTATCATTTCGATGATCTAGAAGGTCACCTTAGGGGGTAGGAGTTGTATTGAACTGAAGATGCTTTGATAATCAGCATTACACACGAGCTTTGCGCGCTAGCGTGGCTGTCAGCGAACTAACCTTCTCTTCTTTGTTATGATTCCTCAGGTGATAGGTCAGCTCAAAGTGTTGATGCGCTCCAACCTGGAGGCGAGCAAGTTTGACAAAGAAAAGTGGTCCACTGAGCTGTCGCCGATCTTGAACTTGTGGAAGAAACTCAACCAGGTATCCTTGGGTAACTCCACTCCTTTCCTATCCCTTGTACAATATGATTTTTCATGTGAGTTTATTGATCTCAGTTCGTGTGAGAGGGAACATTGTCAATGCCCTGCCTGAAAGCCCTGTCCTCGTATTTACTCTATTTGCTGATCGCCATTTTGTGGTTGCAGGGCTCCCAACTGATTCAAATGAAAATCTCGGCACCAACGGAGACTGGTGAGGAATCTCCAGTGACGTCATTCGTGCAGCTTGAGCGTTACAATGCAATCCGATTGGTACAAATCGTGCACGCGTCTCTCTCCTCCCTCAGTAAGGTCATCCGAGGAACGGCATTGCTGGATGCTGATGTTCAGGCTTTAGCGGGGGCTTTACTCAAACAAGAGGTGAATTTACTTCAAATCTTTAAGGAAGACACATCCAGCAACAGTAACAACAGCAAATATATATTTCAAGAACGAGAGAACATCGGAAAACCTCAAATCGCAAAAGTTAAAAATACGGCGTGTATACCAGAATAGAAAATGAATCTAAGAATTTAGGACAAAAATAAAACTGAAGTTTTGCTCCCCTAGAAAGTCTTGATAACTACTACTAAAAGACAGTCGCACCCTTTAAGTCAATCTTTGGTGATATGTTATCAGAATAAGAGTTTAGACTCCGTTATTATGACTGAATAGTCCACTTGAAATCGTTTGGACTACAGCCTCCCACTTGATCCAGTTCAAGAAAGTTTATAACTTGGACGGGAAGTGTGGAAGAAAGCCTTAACCTTTCGTAGGTCGTGATCAAACACATTGAATTATATGCGTACATAAAATTTTCAGGTTATTCATGGAAATCAGTGCTTTTTAACATAGGTCTCAATTGACTAATCTCTGTTGTTTGCATGTGTAGGTCCCTCTCTCTTGGAGCAATCGTTTCGAGGGCCCCGAGGACCCTATTCAGTGGTTGAGGTCCCTAGTTGCAAAGTCCCTAGCACTAGGCTCCTGGGTGGAGAAGTGCAGCTCAGATTCCTTGTTAAGGGACGTGTTGGACCTCTCAGACCTTTTCCATCCAGATACGTTCCTCAATGCCCTACGTCAGCAAACAGCACGGTAAGAGAATATATGTCGCTGCTTTTATCACTCTGTGTCCAATTTTAATAACATTTATATCATTCAAGTCAAAAGCGCCAGTTTTTAGAGGCACAATTTCGCTTAGAGTGTTTGGCGATGGCCGCTCAAGGAGCCCTGGCACTGTTCTTTCCGAAATCATTGAGTTGTACTCCTGGATAAAACCCGTGTCTGTATGGATTTCTTTCCATCAATAAGCGTGAGCAGGCGGCTACCGTAAACCCACAAAAAACCAATAAACCCTCCAAAGGCGGGCACCTCATAAGAGGTGCAATTAGTATTGCTTGAGTTGGTCACCTATGGGAGGTATTTAGAGGGAGTTTACCATATTTTCCGGTGGAAGAGCAGTCCACTTACGAGAATCTCTTTGAAGAAAGCTTTGACTGTTTTAACTTTGAGAAAATCGCCTTGCAGCTCTTACCTTCCGTAGGAATTTTGCATCCAAGTAAGAAGCTAGAAAGAAGTACTGAAGCCCAAGCTCTCCTCAAGGGGATGTAAACGATTAGCATTATTGCTATTTTCAAATCCTAACTTCCATATTTAATTTTTTTTAGAGCCATGAAAACGTCCATCGACAGTTTGAAACTTGCTGTGTCTTGGAAGGGATCGCAGATACCTGGAGCCAAGTTTACAGTCAAGGTTTGTACCTGCCAGTAACTGTTTATGGAGGAAGGGGCTATTTTTCTCAACAGATACAACATTTTCACTTTATGTAATATGTTTGGAGCTCTGCGCCCTGTACAAATTTTTTTTTTTTTTAGAACCTTATTGGGCTACATAACTGCGTAAATGGCTTGTAGTGCAGCCTGAAAACCTTTTAACATTTAGGTCTGTTCTCCACTTAAAAATGTTTGAATACCCACGTTGTTTTCTCTCTAATTAGCTCGGTGGTCTTCAGTTGGAAGGTTGTAGCTTTGACGGTAATACACTGACAGAAAATCAGCGAGACTCGCCCAGTGTTTCAGCGATCCCCACTGCTGAGGTGGCCTGGGTGCCAAAGGTACGTCGTTTATATATAGCGGTGATCGCTAACAGATTGGTTCTCTCTCCCTATAATATCCGCTTCACTCTTCTCGAATGTACACAGGCAACCATAAAATACACGTTAGAAAATGGAAGGCTAGAGTTGGACTTTCGCTTGTGTTATCTCAGGTTTAAAGTTGGCTATGCGTTATCCCACTTGAGCAACGCACCACTCTTTGTCTGCGTTTGCTCAGGAAGAGCTTATCGTTAATGTACACAGTATAGGAAACATGCTAATCGCTCCCGGATAAGTAGCTGTGAAAGCAAATTTAGTATTCCAATCTGACAATCTGAAGTACTAAATAGTCACTATTACTACTGAGTAATTTATTTGTTATTTTTTGACAATAAGGATACCGCTGACCCTTATCCAGAGAACGAATGCATTTCGATCCCAATCTACTACAGTGCTGACCGAGACAAGACAGTCACGTGTTTCAACATGCCGTGTGGCGGTAACCAGAGCAGGTGGACCCAGTGTGGTGCGGCACTTTTTTTAAAGAGTCAGTAAAATGATCTGGACACTAGAGTTGTACTTATGTTTGGAGTACAAGTGGTATTGTGTTAAGCATGAATGTTTGGCTTCTACTGAATAAAAGAGTTGCTTCCTTCCTTTGTGCTTTTTTTTTTATGTCGCTCCCCACTGGGGTGCAAGATAAAAAGTTTTCTTATGCTAAATTGAAATTTACTGGCCTGAAAGTGTTCACAAGAGGAATCGTGTTGTTTAGCAATCATTTCCGTCGATCTTTACTGAGACTAAACTATCGAATGTATCTGATGTCTGCCAGATCTTTCATATGGCGTTTATCAATCACCATTAAACTTATAAGTCAGTCCAAGCTTTTGGTGAGTTGTAAACGCATGTTGTAGACGCAAGAGACCCTTCTCCTTGACCTTGTAACACGATCGTGGATGCTGTTATCTCCTAGTTGTTCTATTTTTATAAAGTTACGTATCCCCTTATACTTCCTTATATCATTGGGACGGCTTTGTCGACCAAATGCGTACATGGAGATGCCGCCTCCAACAATAGTTCAATCAATGGCTTAATCTTCGTGCTGCTGTTGTAAACTTTACCCAATTTGCATTAATTGTTTGAAATTATTTGATTCAGAGTGACCAGAATTTATCAAAATTTAATTAAGCAGTAAACCGCACCTCCTACCAGTTGACTGGCGTAACAACCCACTTCGGATGGTGGAATAACATTTGGAATGTTTGTAAAAGGCCGGGGGCTATGGGCTTACAAGTGCAATAAACGACAGGTTTTTCACCAATCAAGACTCTCCTAGTGTTTTAGTTACTTCACAAGTAACAACAGTCTGAAATTTGGAAAGTAGGGCAAAGATAGCTACAAATAACTAATGCAGTCTTAAGAACCTGGGCTGGGTTTTTCAAAACATGGTTTAACTAACCCGGGGCAAGTGTGAAGTTTTAATTTAGTTTTATAGCTCTGCAAAGCGATTTCTCGTTTTCCTTTTCTCCCCGTTAGTTTCGAGTCATACTGAGATAAAAAAAAAACCCAACAAAACCGTAGCTCTTGTACACGCTCTTCTACATGAGAATTTAAAGCCAAGGTTAACTTTTAAACCTAGATTAACGTGAACCCCCTTTCTAACAACCTGGCCCTGTAACTTAAATATCTCACATCACTTGGATTAGATATATTTGTTCATCAATTGGATAGAAAGGATAGAAATGTCAGTGTTAGAGCTGCTCTCGGGGCAGTACGTTCGTAAAAGGTTTTTAACCCAAAAAGATGATTTTATAAATTTCATGGAATCTCACTGTGAGAAGTTTTAAAGGTCAGCGATAAAAGAAATTTTCGGTAGTAGAGGTTAACAATGCTTAAAAGCGCTGATAAGCTATACGTTTTCTTCCTATTGTTGGAGTTAGCTCGTCTATTGTTGGAGTTAGCCCGTCTATTGTTGGAGTTAGCTCGTCTATTGTTGGAGTTAGCTCGTCTATTGTTGGAGTTAGCTCGTCTATAGTTGGAGTTAGCTCGTCTCTCGTTTCATCGCAAAGTTTCGTTTGTTCCCTCTCACGTCCCATACTTATCCGGCCCCCAGGTGATAAATTAATTTTGCACCTTCTCTATTCTTTTCCCTAACTTTTTCTGGACTTGTTTCAAGAAATATGTATGAACTCCACATGAGCATGACAATCAAAATCGTGAGAGGACTTGGCGGGATTCGCAAGGATCGCTATGGACTCGGGATTTGATCTGAGATCTAACCCCGAGGATAGGGAAATGCCCCTTCCTACGTTTTTCAGGGAAAGGATTCATAAATCACAACATAGAAAAGCGTTGAATACTTAGCTTCTTGTGTTTTTCAGTCTTTTAGATAATTTTAGTATCGTAAAGGAGGTGGTCTGGAATAATTTCTGGATCTTGGTCTCAGATTCCATGGTTTTCATTCTCCCATATTGGTCAGCGGACTGTTATTTCATATCCAGTCTCTCACCTGCCTCTGACCAAATCATGATTTCTCCGTTTCGTCGTCAGGAAATTCTCTCATGTTTATAGCCTTCATCCTCGCTTTTTTGATCGGGGTCTTTTCCGTTTTGCTTTTGGAAGCCTTTTTGCTTTACAAATGGTGGAGTTCTGCAGGTGTGGATGCGCAAAAACTTTACCCACAGCGCATCAAAGTCACCAATCCAGAGGTATTTCTCTCTTTCAGTTGCTTAAACAAAATCACCGGAAACATTCATTATAATTTAAGATCGCAATACAATGTACCAATTTTTGATCGCTGTATACAAGCCTATGATCTGAGAATTATTTATGCCTGGTTTTTTCTTTCTGATATTAAATTAGAAAATTTTGAGCGTTAACTATATTTCCATTTCAATCAGAAAAAGAAAAATCATGCGCGTTTTAATTTTCATCCTGAGGTGTAGTGCGACCTGGATCCAGCTGTAAGGTGCCATAATGGAAAGGGAAGGAGATTTCCAGAATTTTACTTAAATTTAAATACAATTCATTTGGCTGTGGTGATGTGTGATTTGAAAGAATTGGAGAAAAAATCCTTTCGTTCGTAATCACTAGAGCAACAAATCTTAAAAAATGAAATTTGCAAGAATAACATAAATCTTTTTGAAGAAGTTGTGTGACATTAGAGAACACCTCTACGTACCAGAAATTGAGTCAGCTAAATCACCTAAATGAAAACACATACTAGGCACTTGTTGATGTAAATATTCTCCACATTTTTTTTTAGCCTCTAGCAGATTACTGCAAGAAGGATCAAGCCACTAAACCTGAGTCATGTGTTTGTATGAACCTTCTATTTTCCTTTCTGTGGAGAGAATGGAGAGATTCTCCACAGATGAAAACATACTTCTTAAAGAAGATGAACTCAGAGTTCACTGAACTTATTCAAGGAAAAGCAGCTAGCAAACTGATCGAGCAAATAACAATTGAAGAACTTTCTCTTGGGACATCACTGCCTGTTATTACAGGTTTGTGCATTTTCTTTACCTTAACTATTTACTCACCAACTTTAGTATACATATTCTCCAGACTGTTCTCTATACATTTCCTAAAGTGCTGACTTGGAGAATTTGTCTAACAATCAAGAGCCTCTTTAGTTGGTGATCATTTCCTTTATTCTCAATGAATTTCATGTGTGATTTGGGGGGTAATACTCTAAGGAGAATTTTTCTTTGGATGACCTAGGGACAAAGAACTATGTTCCAAAATTAGGGAACCAAAGAAAGTGAAACATATTGTGAAATCAGTTATAGATCATTTTACATCTTAGGGGTCCAAGTAACACATTTTATTAACCCTTTAATTCCCAAGATCTAATTAGCAATTATCCTTACTGTCTGCTATGCAATTCTTCTAATGTTACTTCAGAGAATTTGGTATTGTATCAACTAATCATCCCCTAATTGATAAATTTCTTGGTTCTCATCACTTGTCTTCATGATTTTGTATTGATATTATAAGGAAAAATTATGTCTTGGTCACTCGTGGGAGTTAACAGGTTAAACTTTTTGCATATCTCTTTCAATGGATGAGGTTTGTCCCCTTTTAATTGCAAATGCAAAGGCACCATGCTGAAAGAGGTCATTTTTATCCAGGGCACCCAAGCTCTCTATACAGGTATACTTTCCTCCTCTGAAGTTATCCACCGCAATGTCTTTACCAAATTAAATTTATTTCTTCACAATCTCTTCACACTTCTCTTTTCCAAGGCATACATGTAAGATAAGATTTTTGCAACACAATCATCTAGTTAATTATCCCTTCAGTACAACCCAGTAAGGGGCTTTTTGAGCATTCTTTCCCTTGTGATGTTAAGGAGGCTAATCTCTCATAGTTACTAGATGATTTAGTTTTATCAACTGAGTTGATAATGTAAATTTGCCAAAGTAAAGAGTTTTAAGGCTGAGGTTTTAACCTTTTGTCAGTCTCATAGTCACTGCTTGACCCCAGTTACTCTGGCCTTTCAATTTTGATGCGCTGTTAAACAGATGGGTAATGACAATTGAAGTCTGTAAACCAAAATTGGAAAGGCAGCCATGGACAAATTGTCTTACTCAATCTACACAGGGTTACAGAAACAGTGCAGGATGTAATAAAATTTAAATTCCTCATATTTATTAGTTTTTATCAACAGCACTACTGTCCTAATTATTTTAATTACTTTATTTTTTGTGTTTTTAAGGATTATTTTAACACTTTGACACACATAAGTGAGCAAGACCAGAATAAAGAATTTGGGGAGTATTATTTGATCCATTACCAAGTTCTCTGAAATAACCTCATAAGAATTGTATAACAGATTGTAAGGAGAATTACTAATGACATCTTGGGAGTGAGAGGGTTAATTTTGTCCCTTATGCACTTAGTATTACATATCTATGATTCTGTTTCCCGTGCCATTCACGCCAAAATGGATAAAAAAAAAATTCTAGTGATTTACTACTCTAGGTTGGTCTGTATGGGGAAAAACTATGGCCTAAGTCTTGATTATGTACTCAAGGCCTTATATACAGTTTTTTCTTCCCATACAAATCTCCTGCCTAGAAAATAAAATGTATTATTTTATTTTGTATAAACAGGTGCCACCATCATGAAGATAGGAACAAAAGACCCAAAGGAAGTTGCAAAGGAGTTAGACATTGCCCTTGACCTTGAATATACAGGAGGATGCCACATGGCTATACAGGTTGATCTTGTTTTCAACAAGTCTGTGTATGTGGCAGTCAAGTTGGTTTCTCTGAAAGGCCGAGCCAGATTACAGCTAAGCAGACATCCCCTTTCACACTGGTCTTTTGCCTTCTACGAGGTACTGGATGATAAAAATATTAAAGACCATTATCAGAGATATGATCATTAATTATTTTGCAGATAGTTGTAACTTTATGTTAGTTTATTAATAAATTCTGAAGGAAGGGTCTAAGGACAGAATTTCAAGCCCCTCAAGCAAAACTAGACAAAGTGGATCAAAATCTTTCTTTTACAACATTGGAACATGACCTTTTGAATCCTCTGAAACAGAACAACCTTTTTGAAAGGTCAGTCACATGAGAGTGAAGAACACATTTTTGAAGACATTTTATGCATTTATAACTGTAGGGTCGAAATGCAATTGTAAAGTAAAATACCACTTTTGACAGACTGTTAATAAGGCTGAAATTTGCTCACATTCATCAGTCAACCAAAGCCTACACATACATGGGGTCAAATTCTTTGCATTTTGTTTTTTGGAGTTTTTGGGTTTTTGCTTGGTCTTTGTGTGTGTGTGTGTTTTATTTTTTTTTCGTTTTTGCTTTTTTTTTTCTTGGCGAGATGATGTTTTGGATTTTGCACCAAACTCGTAAAACAAAGAAGTATACGATCCTTTTATAGAGAAAAAATTAGCTTTTTAATTTCAGAGAATGATCAATGGTATTCCAGTAGCTTTGTGTATTTATTTATTTTTCTATTTTTGTTTTTTTTTCTAATCAGGAACCCGAAGTTGAACTTGAAGCTGAGTCCCAGTTTGAAGGCAAGAACTTCCCTCAACTAACATCCCTGATAATAAGCCATCTTCGCAAGTCTATACAAAAGAAACACACCCTCCCAAGCTACAAGATCCGATATAGCCCCTTTTTTCCACAGTTGATTCCTCAGGATGAAACCCAGGAGGTGTATGTTCATAACAGCAGTGTCACTGTGGGTAGTCTAGAGGTCACTGTTGTAGGGTGTACCCGTCTACCTGAATTAGAGAATGAGGCCTCTCAGTACTGCAGTTTGTCTGTGGACCAGCTTCCCTGCAGTCAACTTGTTGAGAACAGGAGAGCAATGTGGCCAACATTTGAGGTGGGGTCGACATGTGTCTGTTTTCACTTTCAGTGAGTGTCTATCCTTTAAATTTTGGGTTGGAATTCAAAGCAATTTACTCCAGGTGTAGTGTGGACCACTTTGGTTAACTCCTCAGTCAAGCCTAGAAACTCAACCTAAATTGTGGGTTGGAATTCACGTGGGTGAAGGCGAGGTGGGGTCGACATGTGTCTGTTTTCACTTTCAATGAGTGTCTATCCTTTAAATTGTGGGTTGGAATTCAAAGCAATTTACTCCAGGTGTAGTGTGGACCACTTTGGCTGACTCCTCAGTCAAGCCCAGAAACTCAGCCTCTCAGCGTTCAGTAAATAATTTTGAAATGAAGTAACTGTCGTAAACTCATGAACATGCGAAACCTTAAATTTCACAGTTTTTGCCCAAAAAAAAAATAGTGAAACGAGACTAAATCCGATTGCAATCGAGTAAGCTTTAGAATTTACCCAACTTTTTCCGATTTGAGTCCAATTTATAGAAAACTGTCCTATGCAATGCCCTGACAATGTCTTTCTTTTAGTTTGATTCCAATATTTTGGCTTGAAGAGGCTGATTTAGTGCAAATATGAAGCTTAGATCTCATAACAGGCAAAAAAAAAAAACACGAAATATCGACTACAAGTCCGTTTAATACTGACGTTTTTTACCCGCAGATTGAGATAAGTCGTGAGAACAATGAAGTATCCTTCGGTCTGACCTTGTGTAACGAGATCAGTGAAGATGAATTGGGAAAAACCATCGTGATAGAGACAGTTGTAATAGACTCCCCTGCATACAGTGTAGGAGTTATGGCTAAAGATGTACTGGTGGCTATTGATGGAAAAAAGATAGAGTCGCTCAAGCAAGCTGCTAAGCTGATAAAAAGTAAAAGCAGGTATCTTGTTCCATTGATTTCGTCTTTTGAACTTCATATTACATCTGGTGTATTTTTGGCAAATTTAAACTTCCGTAATTTCATGAAAATTTTCTGACGTCTTGGCACCTTCCAGCTCTCTCTCAAACCGTTTCTTAAGTTCACTTCAGACCACTTACCATTTAACCACAGTGGCATTATTACTGTCACTGATAGTACATGTAACTCAAAGCCTGACTGTCGTTGCTTGTCTTACAAACTATGGCTTAACGTTAATCCTGAACTGTCTGTTTCTGTGCACCAGACAGGAGATATTCGTCTGACAATGGACTCCTCTAAAATCTGCCGTTTACTTCCACTCAAAACTTTTGTCGCTGAGCGCATTAGTGGGCTTGCCCAGGAACCCCAGCCACGGCTCCTATACTGCCTAACAAGGCTCTTAAAACTTTCACACCCACATGGTTGTTGCTCATATTTTATAATCAATTTTTTTTATTTTTCTTTTTGCGTTCTAGATTCACTGCTACGGTTCAAAGACCACCTACAAGAATTTCGCAACGAGTCGATCGCGAAAAGCCAGAGAACGAACAAGATGAGAAAACTGTCGTGAACTTTAAGAATGTCGCACTTCACAATGACAGCGACTCCGAGGATGATTTTGTCAACATCGTGGTGCCACTGTTTGAAGTTGAAGACGACGAAATGAAGGAAATGCTGTCACGAAGCAATAGGCAGAGAGCGGAGAAAAAGATGAAAGGAAGGTAAGAACGAACTTTTTCTGAGCATTCCTTTACTGGGTTTGTGTAGATGAATCGTTATAGCGATTTGTCGTACCAAAATATTCTAAACTATAAATGAATAAGGGCGGTTAGTTTCTAATGAAACTTTGGTGCTGCGTCAGTGGTGGTATAACATGACAATTTGATTTATCAACAGAGTTATTAATGTAATACTGTAGTTTGATCGTCCGGGTGAGTGTAGTCCTGAGAAGGACTGTTGTCGGTAGTGGTGACTGACGTTTCGACAACCTGAGCGGAAGTCATCATCAGAGTCAAGTGAAAGGTTGTTGTCAGTCGAATGTACTTAGTCCGGTTTGTTTACACTGATTGGTCAGTTTTGCCGTGATGTTATTGGCTGTAATACTCAAGTGGCGTAGGTCAGTCGTGATTGGTCAGTTTGGATCCGTTAGTGAAGTTGGGTCGTTCTGTTCGGTTCGTTTGTAATGTGAATGTCGTGGACGAGTCGTTTGTATGGTGCCGGTAGTGGTTGACACCTGTTGAGGGGAGTCTGTTCCAAGTTAGTAAACCAGTTTTTTAGGGTCAGTCGTTGAAAGAAGTTGGTGCTGTAGGTTAGGCATTGCGCAGAGTCCCAGTCAATAGTGTGGTTCGTAAGTCGGTGATGTTCAGCAATGTGATTGTTGACATCGCCTTTCTTCGTCGCTCGTTTGTGTTCAGTCAGTCTAGTTGCGAGGTTTCTGCCAGTCTCACCGATGTAGGAGGCGTGGCAGTCGGAGCAATCAGAATGCAAACAACCTTTTATTTGACTCTGATGATGACTTCCGCTCAGGTTGTCGAAACGTCAGTCACCACTACCGACAACAGTCCTTCTCAGGACTACACTCACCCGGACGATCAAACTACACTATTACATGTTACCCCCGGGTTCAAATCATTTACTGTATGTGTTATTAATGTAAGGCTGACGTTTCGAGCGTTAGCCCTTTATCGCTAGCTCTGACGAAGGGCTAACGCTCGAAACGTCAGTTTTAAAAATCCTCTACGGTTGCCAATTTACATTCATTTATGAAGTCAATTGATGAAACCAAATTTCTAAACTTTGTTTACTTTATAATCAGTCGCATTCCTTTCGGTTTAAGACGCTTTTTGATTGGTCTAGAGAATGCGTCGCATGTATCCTGTCCACCAAAATTTCAAGCTCAGATTTTTCGCATGTTTTGTCTTAGAGATCAGACATCAAGGGGGCAACCGACAAGGGACACAAAACAGGGATCACCAGCATCCACACAGCGGGCGAACGCAGGCCAGATAACTCCTGAAGTGAACGATGAAAAGGCGTCTGTCGAAAAGACTCCTTTACCAAATGGCACCGACACTGCTTCGCCAAAACGTCCAAGGAAGGTGTCTGTTTCATCCCTGAAGGTGATGGACGGACCAGATACCACCAAAACCAAGCTGGTGTCAGCAAGCTCGGTAAGTAGTGCTGTCACTCATTGGCGCTGATTATCGAAGGATATTGACGAAACACAGAGATGTCGATGACTTTTTCGATGATGCTATGCTAAAACCAATATGTTTGGTTGGCTGGCAGTCCCAACACTCAAGCAATATTGAACCTTTTATTTGTTTCCACAGACTATTAAAACACGAGGGGGACTAGAAACTAGAAAATATTATACCAACCCAGCACGTACATATTCACGCCCACAATTTACAGTATGGACTTTGGAAGTAGAAATTTGGAAACTCTCCCGCGTAACAAAGGGAACAAAACGGGGGGGGGGGGGGGGGGGGGGTGTTAAGAATTGTGGAGAGGACCTCGGCGTAATAATTGGTATCCCTTCGCGGTCATTAAGACACGTATTGACCTTCGTTTATAGGATCCAGTCTGGAATGAAACCTTCAAGTTTGATGTCCAAACCCCTAACCTTCGATACCTTAACGTGTGCATATGGAACAAATCTCAAGAGAAAAACGAGAAAGATATCATACTTGGCCATGTGAGTAAAGATGATTTTGCACTCATAAGTTTTCTCTCGCCACTAGAATTGTCTGGAAGTAACTTTTAACTATTTGCTCGGCTGTAAGTGACAAAAATTATAGTTACCATAAAGGTCTATAACTTGAATTTCCTCAGTTAGTCGTCTTATCGATTCATCTTTAGGGTTTGCACTAGTGGAAAAACTGAAAAATCATAAAAACAAAATTTTGCGGAAACGTCACTTTGCAGGCCTGTGATTTTACGGAATTTCAATGTGGCTTATGGAAAGCAAGGCAATCGAAAATTGCTGAAAAAGATTTTTTCCAGAACGACATTACTGGAGTGAGAACGCGCTTAAGAACCCTTTAGCTTATGATTTAGCGCACTTTCTTCCAGGTTGACGCCTTTACGGAATCGCTGTTTTGTGCTTTTAGGCGAAACACTGATCGCTTATAAACTGCCGTTAAAATATTGTTGCAGGTAACCATTCCCTTGATGGACATTGCACTACGATGCTTGTCATTCTCGTCAAAGAAACACGAAGAGTGTTTCGTCTTGGTTTCCCCACACTCCGACAGGATTATATCAAAGTAAATAATAAATTTGAATGTGACATTCATGATTTCCTGTTTGCTACGGAGAAATTTTGGATTTTGAAAGAATGAGGAGCGGACTTCAAGTACCTCTTTACTCCTGAAAGAAACTAATATTTTATTTTACCGATTGCTAAATATTTCCTTTAAAAGGAGAATTTTGATTTTTAGCCCAGCAAGACAATAACTTCTCATACGATGATTTCTTCACGCGAGGGGAAAGTCACGTGTAGCTTGCAGCCCGCGCTGCACAACCGAAGTAATTACAATGGCCAATCAGAATGGAGAAAAATCCCAGAATCCAGTGCAAGCTGAAGTTAAAAATATGCAAACTACCTGAAGAGAAAAAACGCGAGGGTCCAAGTTGCAATCGGTTGAGGTTTTGTAATCTGATTGTTTCAGAGGTGGTGCGTTTTTCTCTTGACCAGTGACAAAACAAATAAATGTAAATGCCAAACAGTTACTTTTGTGTCACACTGCAATTAATTTAATATTTCTTTATCAACATCTGTCTCACTGAAAACTTATTGGAACTGATTCTTTCTCATTTGCGCCAGTCAGCCATATCTTCGCAATCATCCCGGTCTGAAAGAGAGTTTGTGCTGTGGAGACATCACGTTGATTTTCCATCACAACCCATCTCTTACGGATTGTGATGAGTCAATCCTTGAAAAAGTGGAATCACTGAACGAGTCTGCACCAGAGGTATGACCAAGTTGTTTTCTTTTCGATTAGCCATTTCACTGATGAGCAGTGGCCTTGAAGCTACTAATGACAACTTAATGAATAGAAATATTTAGCATGTATACCGAAACAACATTTAAACATAAATGCATTCGCTAAATTTGAGTGTTATTAGCTTAAACGTTAAGACATGGTATAGTGGGCAGACGTTCCACAATCCACTCTGAGCTCTCTTGATGGTAATATTTTCGAAGGTCCACCTTCAAATTCCCCCTTTCCATGTGTCTACTTCAAATTTCACGATCTCATCATGCATTTCCTTTCTTGTAGTAAGGTACACCTTTAAACTTAATCGAACCCAATGGATAGTTGACATTTGCGTTCAGTTCTCCACTCGTTTAAAATATGTATGGTCCTTCTGGCTTGTCGTCCTTTTTCACTCTGTAGCCAGTTATTTTATTGTAGCCTATTGTTCATACCTTTCCCTTTGTAGGATGAAAGTCAAGAAAAAGACACTCTAGAAAGGTAAATAAAAAATTCTAAATTGTTATAGAGTCAATGTTTTTAGGGAGCTCAAGGACAATTTTTTTTGAGACGCAGAAGGTTGCCAGAAGTTTGGGATCTTTGCGCTTGGCACAGATCTTTTACCTTGCCCTTTAGTTTGGAATACTGAAAACGAGGGCTTTCCACTCGATTGTTTGCTGTCAAAGCGTATGAGAAATACCTACATTCTCCTTCTAGTTGTTCACGTCGCATCCCTTGCGTAGAAATCAGCTTGAGATGAATGCAGATTCTTTTGTAGAAATGTGTCATGATTGCGATCAGATTTTTGTTCTCTTTCGTCCCTGTTTCTGTTTTTTTGTTTGTGACTCTACTGTGAAGTATTTTAAGTAATCTTCTTGAGATTTGTTTGTTGGTTAACATGAATGGCCACTGCTTACACTGATAAGTATGCCTTTTCTTTGCTTCTTTTTCTTTCTGTAACATTTGTTTAATGTATTGTCTGTTCTGCGTTGCAGTTTGGAGCCTCCCAAACATCAGTTTATCTTAACCCAGTTTTATTTTCCCACAAGATGTAGTTACTGCAACAAAAAGGTAATGACCGGTAGATAACAAGAAATCGTGTGAGCGTTTTCTCGTAAATTTTTCCGTTTATGTGATTTATTTTCTGTCAACTTTGTAATCGAAACGTTGTTCGAAAATTTTTAATCCTCGAGCTGATAGAGTTTTTCTTCCTCACCATCTGTGTGGAGGATAATGTTGCCATAATTTTGTCCTGTTGAGTGAGTGAGTGTGGCAATGGAACGACCTCTTCACCCAAAACGGAGTCTGGCGAGTTTTATCCGACATTTCTCGCACGTGGGTTTTGTTTGCTTCAGAACATCTTCCTTCGTTCAACGCTTGATGACGATTTCTTCGAATCGCTTCGAATGTTACTCGGAATTAGCTCCAGCATCATTATATAACCTCTAGTTCTTTTCAATGGTATAAAAATTGTGCTATATCAGTAGCCACATGCAGTCTTAAACTGCCTGTTTTTGTTAGTAAAGCTGACCATTTTTGGAAGTTACAATCATGTTAACTGATATGCGATTTTGTGGTCATTTGGTTGTTTATTTTTATTTCATATTTTTTACCAAAACAATGTTTTTTTGTACAGGTATGGACGAAAGTTGCGTTCCAGTGTAGAACATGTGCCATGATCTGCCACAAGAAATGTCTGCGTAATTGTATGGATTATACGCACTGTGCACAGTGAGTAATAGTAGTGACAGGATCTGTCGGTGTCGCTTTTGAATCTCGCATTCTAATATGAATTTGAGCGCAAGATTTTGGAAGGTGTTGGGGCAGGTGACCCTTTATCTTAAAGTGAATTTGATGATTGGTAATCGTTTGTTTTATTCTTGAATAAATAAGACGTATTTAATGTCGAATTTCAGGCAGAGCATTCTTCCAATGAGTGTCGTAACACTGAAAACGAGGTTACAAACCGCCAATTACATCGAATGGAACATTTTATGTCATCCGAATTCGGAGTTTGGCCTCAAGCGCGGGATAATGTCTTTATTCAGTTGTTAGTCTCGATATTGATTATTCATTTTCGCAGGAAGTTTTCTCGACAAGTCGTACAATAATCCATACCTAACCTTGTCCCCTTTTCATACGGAAAAAGAAACCGGCAGGAAATACAGCTATGCACAATTTTATGTTTTGGGTTTATTTTGATACGTTGGTGGTTAATTTCTTGACAAGCACAAATCATGTTCGGGTGGTTTTCTAGACAGCAATCAAAGTCAGCGCAGGACAAAAAGGAAGAAAAAAATGAAGAGAATAAAGGCAGTGTGGTGGAGTCATCTGTACCTGATGTAGCAGAGGCTTCCAGTGAATCGGATGATGAATTCTTTCCTACCACAAGTGAGCGATTATCGGACGAAGATGAAACAAAGTCAGAAGTGACAGATGATCCTGTAAGTGAAAGTGTTAAGGTAGGCAGCTCCGAATCTAGAGGAACCTTAGAAATATTCGACTCCTTGGTAGGGGGATTTAGAAATAGAGCCCAAGATGAGTAAAGTTAAAGCGTATCCCTGTCCTTGTTGATTTTGAAATAAATTCGTTCAACAGCATTCTGGAAAGACTGAAACTGCAGCTGAATCAGACGAGAATGTCTCCGATAAGATGAGAGCTTCAGAGCGAGTGAAAGAGGTCAGTTTCATTAGTGATGACTCTCACAAGCAACATATCAAGTAGACTGAATTTATTTTACAGATGATAAGGAACGAAGTGATCGTCGCTGGCAAACTGCATAAATCAAAACTATAACAAAATTCTCGAACGTGATCGGTCATCACCAGCCCGATTTGAGCACTAATAGGCAGTGTCGCGTCATGCTTGTAATTGGATAGTGTAATAGGACAGTTAAAGGGACACAGTTAACACGTCATGCCAATGTAAGTGGACAGAACGCGTCATAAGCACGTGCTGTTGTCTCGCATTTTGCCGAGTTAACTGTTGATTTTTTTATGAAAACGTACAACCGATTTCTAGTTTCTTTCTCAAATTTTGTAATAGTTTTGATTAATTGGTAACAGTTCTTCGTGTCGTCCAATTCTGTCTGTATTCATACGAGTGATTAACAAATCGGACTCCCGCTTCGCGGTTGTCCGATTTTGTTTATCACTCGTATGATTACAGACCGACTTGGACTCCACTCGGTCATATTACCATTATTAATCGTTTCTTTCTTATAAATACCTTGAGGAAGTCTTCTATCTAAAATTGTAATTCTTAATGTCCTTTCAATGGTCTTTATTCTAGTATTGATTGTAGATTTTTAATCAATTTCTAAGAATTTTAGGTGGTATCCTTGATTAATGGAGTGTAATTGCTAGATTTTAGTGGCATTTTAATTAAACTTATTATTATTATTATTATTATTATTTTTAGTATTATTATTATTATTATTATTATTATCATCATCATTATTACCTTGAGGGCTGAACCACTAACTAAACTACGAAAAGATTTGTTGAGAACGCAGCAACTGAACGACTTTATTAAGGAATTCTTGACCAACTAGAAGCTATAACTTACGGTGAGACATTTGGATATCCATGATATGTATTTTGACTTAATTCCGTTTAAGGTTGGCAGAGAATTATTCTCCAATCTTCCTCTGGAGGCTCGCAAAAGCAAGTTAGAAGACATGGTGAGACATTTTTTGTGGATCCTCGTTAACTCCAAAATTCTTCCCACTTTCCGCAAAGTTTTCTTCGTTCTAGTAGCTGCCTTGTGCGTCAAAGGGCATAAAGAGGGTTATAGTGTAGTTGAAGTGATTCGCCTTTGATGTTAACTGTTTCTCTTTGATCTTAAGATGAGCAAATTACAAGTAGAGATTGACGAAGAAAATGAAACGCTTACAGAATTGTACGACGAGAAGAATAAAGCTGAGGAAAAGAAACAGAAAGCTGCTATAGAGGCGCTATTGGTGAGTTCATTTGGGAAAACTTACTTCTGAAAACACCAGACGCTAGATGTAACATTGCCAACAACACGAATCATGTTAGTGCCCGTCCTTATTGAGTCTGATAAATGTATAAGCGCAAAATGAATACAATTTCAAATCTTTCCAATTTTTTTTGTTCCACACTCGTGACAAAATGTTGGACATCCTTTGATAATGGTCATCTTCATCTTACTTTTCAGGCCAAATCAGGAGAAAGAAGGCAAGCACTAGCCATGTTGATGTTACAGTACTGTGCTGGTTATCAGAGCTGTGTGGAGGCTGAAGAACTCGACTCTTATCGGTTGTGAAAGATCGCCAGCATCCAAGTCAACCTTTAAACCCAGGCTCTAAGAGTGATCAGCGTCTAATTTCTCTCTAAATTTTTACCACTGAATCAGACATTAAGGTTTCGGAATACAGGAAATGACCACCCACTCAAGAAGCTCTAATGTTGAATTCTACCCTTGGTGATTAACCTTAAAAACTGCTAAAACATATGAGCTAGGTATTCAGTTTCCCTGTATGTAGACTAATTACTTTCAGAAGTGCTGTGCCTCTTTAGTTTTTTTAAGCTCATTATGCTCAAATATAGGGAACGAACTCACGTCGCCAAAGGAGCAGATAATGCTCTTTTAGCAACATGCTAAATTTGATTTTAAATATTCGTTTCCAGTGCCCTTTTCGGGTATGACTTGGCTTATGAAGAATCTCTTTTTGTATAATTATTATAGTATATCAAAGGAACATGAGCAAGTGGCACTAATCTTGCTGTTGTATATGAAAAATTACTGAGTCTCTTGAATAGATTAAGATATATGATTGATGTTATTTATATTTATAGAGATTTTTCGTTTTGTCTTTCTCAGATACCCAATTATTGATTTCTGTTATGCTTTACAGCGTAACCTTTGCCGTCGCGCAGCCTTCTTTCGCCAAAAATGTTTTCTGCTTAAACGTATCGTAGTTCATGTTGCTATTTTTTCCCTTTATGTCATGAGCATTTTAAATTGCCAGAAGTAATGGTGGATTTTCTGATGGAGGTCACATTGTGTTATTCAAAATAATATTTAAGGAGCTTCTAAGAAATTTTTGGCTAGCCTATAATTTTCACGTATTTGATGCTCAGTGTTTCTTTGTAAAACTTTGATTTCCACTTTCTTTCTTTTTCGTTTGATGCCTGAAGAAGCTGAAAGAAAAGAGAAATTTACTAGGGGGTGGACAATATACAACAACAGGAAGAGGGGGGGGGAAGGGAAGAGACATTCAAGGATGGACAATAGACTTATGATAAGCTTTATCGTAGTTAAGAATAGAATGAATAAATGTGAATTATTGACTGTTTCTTTGTTGGGCCCAAACTCCTTTCGTATATTTTCATTTCGGGGAAAGGTATGGTCGGATTTAAGTATTTTAGCTCGATATAGGTGGACAAAAGACTGGAAAACGAGGCTTCATATTTGAAATCGAGGCTTGCTGGAGGTATAATAAACGTCCAGGGAAACTGAATTATTATAATTTAATTTTTTTAATGAGAAAAAAGTTATTTGCTCTTGGACCGGCAGCCAATGCAGTTCATACAACACTGGACATGTGTTCACGTTTAGGTGTAAGCGTGGCGATTCTGGCTATCTCGTTTTGAACAAACTGAACTCTAGTCAAAGTTTATTTCGGCAGTCCTTATAGGCAATGAATTACGTAAGTCCAATCTGGAGATGATAAAAGCATGTACGAGGATATTTAATTAGTGCAACTAATCGTTCAAAGATGATGAAACCTGCTTTACATCTTGCAGTGACATGATTTTCTAAAGACACGACAGTATCTTGAACAACCACAATATTTCTTACTGTTGATGGCTTGTTGATTGACGTCGATGAGGAGGGTGGGTGCATGGTGACGGGCATGTGGTCTCAGGAGTTCAAATTACGCATGCTCAAGAAAGTATTTTCTCTTTGCAGAGTAGAGCCCTGACGGTTTTCCCCAAAGACTTTTTGTTTCATTCTTTAATGTCCCATAGGAATAGGCTTTTTCAACCTTCAAATATCAAAGTCTTCGAGATGTAATATGGTTGTGTTTTGAATTCCTCGCGCCTTTTGCGATAGTGGAATTTTTGTTACTAGTTTTGTATTCTTAGAGGTGCAATTCAACGCGGAGCGGACAATAACTGAGACAAGAATGGTCTGATCTCAAAGAAAATTGATGTTTAGTGTCAAGGAACACGTAATATGCGCGAGGGCTTGTTATGCAACACCTGCAAAGATCCGATAAGGTGCAATCATTGCTCCTTCGGGAGCAAGAGATCAATTTTCAAATTGAAAAAAACTTGAATTCTTCAACCCTTTCGGGCTTCAACTCTGAAAATGGCGTATGACAACATTTAAATGTATCCCCTTCTACTAGCTAACATATTTCCAAACCTTTTACTTAAAGCAAAATAGTAGATTGAATTTTGAACTAGATCGAAAACGAACCTCTTGGGAGTCAGCGGTAGGTCGCGTAGTCCTAAATAGCAGTATGCGTGGTTCTGTGCTGTGATTGGCTCACGCTTTACAAGCGGGATTCTTGAAAAGCGAGAACGAAAACGTTCGCATTCGCGAGTCATTTTCTCGATACTGGACAGCTAAACTAGGAAACTTAATCACAGAATTTGAAGCCTCTCAAATTTGGTGCTTTTAGCTACGTTTTACTGTATTATACTCTTTACTTGTCTTTGTTGTCCGTTCAGACGTTGAGGTTCGTTTTACAATTTGAAGTCAACCGCCTCCTTGTTGAAATGTCGCTATCCATCAGGGAACCGTTTCCTATCTCAAACAACTTCGAAAACAATCAAGAAAGCAACGTGTTGAAGAAAGCAAAGATGGAAGATGGTCAAGTAAGAGCAACTCAACAAGGGCAGAAACGTGCGGCTTTGAGCACAATAACGAACAACGCAATGAGAATTCAGCCGTTTCGTGCTGCTAAACAACAGGTCGGTGAAACGAGGTCAATTTCATGCAACTAGTTTCTAAGACCTTTAAACTTTATGTACGTTTCCAATGCTGGTATTTGAGCCTTTCTTCGTTCAATTTATTTTTTGGATTTATTTAGGCTGGTTTTGCTGGTTCGAAGAACGACGAAAATGCTTTCAGTCGTTTACAACAAAAGACCTCGGTCTTCGCTGTACCGAAGAGTGCACAACAGAGTTTTAGCATTCACGAAGACCCAGAGCCTGTTATTGCAAGTGCTCAGAGTAGAACACATTCTAGTTCTTCAGTTCCAGAAATAAATCCGGCCATAACGTCGCTTTCAAGTTCGGCTTTAACAAACGTGTTCGTTGCAAACAGAGCAAGAAATGAAGGTAAGCTTCAACGCATTGAATTTGCACTTTGCGACCCAAATTTTCCTCATTGTTAGAGCACCGTTTTTTGGCATTTGAATTGTTTCGTTTTACCACAAGGTTCTTTTGAGTCATCATTTGATTTCTTAGGTTATTTAAAGCCCTAATACATCTTTCAAAACCCACTCATTGATTTATTTTTTAATTTCATTTTACTGCAGTGGATTCCCCCATGGTTATAGATTCCAGCGATGACGAGGACTTTGAATGCACGAAAGAAACAACGCCAGAAATACACGACATCGACAATGGCAACGACATTTTTGGTGTTACAGAATATGCTTCAGAGATATACCAATATTTGAAGAAGTCTGAGGTATTTTGTGTTTTGTACACATGCGAGTTGTGAAGATCGTGTTTGGAAAATGCTGTGATTTGAAATTGAATGAAATGCATGTGATTAGAATGTTATTTTTAATGTGGTTGATTTGATGTTCTTAAAGCCTTGTCTATTCCATTGTTTTTATCTTTTGAAATAAACATACCTCTGCCTTTTCAATTTTTAATAATCGTCATTTCACCGCAATCCTGCAATAATTTATGGTGTACTCTGGAATTATTCAATCAGCCGGGAGCTTCCCATAATTCTTCCTCCAGTGCCCTAGTCTTGGATTGTGCACTGCCTGAATAAATTTGACCCACTACTTGATTTTAAAACTTGACTTCAAAAAGGAAAATTTTAAAATCATCATAAATGCCAAAATCTGAGTAATCACAGATGAAATAAGTAGAAAAAATCTCTAGATATCAACGAGATATTACTAATGTACGAGACAGTAAGTTAAAAATGCTCATTTTGACTTGTGCATTAAGACTGAACTCTCAGTGTGAACTGCCCTTGAGATGTGCAGGGAAAAAAAATGCAAGCTCCACTTTAGGCTTGGCTAAATCTACATATTATAACTCTTGTTTGGGTTTTTGGGTTTTGATGATCTTTTAAAAAAAGCCAGTATTATTTAATTTGCAAACACATGGGTCTGATGGGTGGAATGTCTATTTTTCCAGCTCAAGAACATGCCTAAACCAAACTACATGAAGAAACAAACTGACATCAACCACTCTATGCGTTCCATCCTTGTTGACTGGCTGGTTGAAGTGGCTGAAGAGTACAAACTTTCTCTCCAAACTCTTTATCTAACCATAAACTATATTGACCGATTCCTATCAGTTATGTCTGTTCTACGGGGTAAGCTACAACTTGTGGGGACTGCTTGTATGTTGATAGCAGCCAAGTTTGAGGAAATTTATCCTCCAGATATTTCAGATTTTGTATACATCACAGATGACACCTACAATGCCAAACAGGTATGTGCAAGTAACTGTTTGTGATTTTCCTCTTCTGTCAGTGAAGTACAGGATATGCTTACAACAAACTATTTACAGTCTTCTATGGGCAATCCATTAGTCACTGTTCTGAAAATGGTAGAGAGGGTATTAGAGGGTGTCATGCAAGAAAAAGTGCATGTGCAAATTTAAAATATTGATCTTTATAATAGCGGACTTATTTTTTCATTTTGCATGGTGGACATACACCTGTAACTGTTTCTTGTTTTCTGGTGGTTTCTTTTTTGATAAAGAAAACTACAGTTTTTCTCACATGAAAGAAAAATATATTCTCCTGAGGGCATGAAATACTGTGAAAAATTAACATGATCCATTTAGCAGACAAATAACTGTCTTTTTAACAAAGCTGTATTTAGAGGAAACTCATTTTTTTAGACATTGCTAAGTTCATTTTGTCTTCATTTGCTTGCTTTAAAAAATTCAACTTTTTCTTTTTGGCAGGTTCTAAAAATGGAGTCTCTTATTCTGAAGACTTTAGGATTTGAAGTTTGTGCGCCAACAATACTAAATTTCCTTGAAAGATTTTTGAAGGCTGCAGAATGTCCTGAAGCAGATAAATCCAAAGTTGAATCATTAGCAAAGGTATGTTTAGATTGTCTGTGCTTGATACTATCTGTATTGTACCAATGAGGAAGGAACTGTTTTCATTGATTTTAAAGACTTGATATCCAGAGTAATAATGGCAACATCATTTTAGGGAATTGTTTTATCTGTGAGTAAGTTGGTTGATAGTATAATGTCATCACCTGAGTGCAAGAATTCCTAAGCAGAAGTTATCTGTTGAGTCCAGAGCTATTGTCTATCTTACCCCTGGCTGTTCAAAGAGTGGATGACTCTATCCAGACTGAATTGAAAGTTTTTAATTATTGGTACAGCCCTTGACAGGTTTTGCTCTATCTTACAACTGTACATATTTTAATTTTTTTATTGCAGTATCTCTGTGAACTTTCATTGCTTAATGGAGAACCTTTCCTACAGTATCGGCCATCTACAGTTGCTGCCAGTGCTGTTGTACTGTCTCTTCATACCATTGGATTAACATCATGGGTAAAACTTCTGTTTGCTTGTTGATAATGTTTAATGTTCAAAACTGCTGTTCCTTCAAAGTGCAGGGAGAATCTCTTAAAAAACACAAACTTTACATGCCCATAAAAATGCCTCTAGAACATGTTATCTAATTGACAGAATATCTCTATGTAGAGACATTTTTCAGTCCCTGAGGGTATTCCCCTAAATCAGGATACAAAGCCAATTTCCTCGGTGTAAGTGTTTGTTATAAAACAAGATACATGAACATTGTGTAGTGACCATGCTTGCATAAGTCCCCAACCCAAGACCAAACCAATCAATCGGTGACCTAGAGTGAAAACCAAACAGCAAAGGTTAAAATTTAACCCTTTAAGTCCCATTAGTGACCTAGACAGAATTTCTCCTTACACATCAGTACGATATCAAGCAGACAAG